AGTAATAGACCTATACTGATACTACTTAATTCTTTGCTAGCTGTGCTGGCTTAACTTGTTTACAAGCAGACTTTTCTAAATTTGTTTCAAATTCTATAAGTTTCCGTGATAGGTGACCTCAGAGTTTACAGAAGTTGGCAAAACAAGCTCATGAAATTTTAACTGTAGCTTCCAATGCCGAGTGATGCAGCAGTTTCAGATGCTTTTGATCTGAGTTTCTTGAGTTTTCTTTGTTCGTGAAGTCGCATCTATACATCATTATTTTTAGGTGAAAGATGATGAGGGTTAAGGGTTAATCCCCTTGCTTCCTTAACAATTTTGTACTTTTTAGCTGTTTGTGACAATGTAAAGCATCACAAAATGCTCAGAACTTCACATCCATGTAGCAGGGCATGTGAGTACTGAATGGAGAAATTTATACCATTCCTTGGAGGTTTTTCCAAACTGCTCAGCATGGACGCAGTCATTGAAAGTAGAAATCTGAACATTTGAAGATATTTCTGCTGTATTAATAACAACATAGGTAGAATGGATAATTATGAAAATCAGTGATTAGCCAGCTATTCTGGTGCTGAAGTTTCCTGGGTATGGGAATGTCAGCAGTATAGGGGAGGGGGCCATTTTAAAAAATACAGGATTGAGTTGCTGGTTTATATAGGATTGTCTTAGTGATTTTGACTACAGCTTGGTAGTGCGCAAGATTTTGCAAAAAATATAATGTATACATTTATATATATAACACTTAAATTATAGTGTGTGATAGAAGCCTGAGTGATGTTAAGAAATTAAAGACTTCATTCCCTTCTGCTGATCAAACCCAAACTTCTTAGAAATCATGAGGAGTCTTTTTTACAAAAAAAAAGGATCCTCCTTTTGTTTTAAATGCATGGCATCTAGGAACATAATGACTTGTAAATGAACAATTTTTATTAATTTTACAAAGTACTTACAAATGCCAGTATCTTTGAATTCAGACCTCACTTAAGCTGCTCAGGTGAAATCTTTGTCCTTTATGTTTAAACACTTTCAGACATGGTCATCATTCCCTAAATACTGAAGTCCAGCTTCTGTATGGTGAAGTATTGCAGTCCAGGCAAAACAGAAAAACAAATGTCCCTTGATTACAGTATTGTCACTGGCATGGGTTTATTGACTGGCTGCTAGAAAATGCCACTGTTAGTTCTTTTTTGAAATCTAATTGCAGAAGAGGAATATCACTACATTCACATTCCTCATTCTGTGTAACATGCTAACTTCAGGTACCCTACACCTTATAAATTGAAAGTTGTGAAATGGATGTAAAATATTTTTAATAATCTTGTCAAGGGAATTGAATGCCTTGCTGGTTTGGTTGAAGAAGTCTTTGCCCTTTTGTTTCTAGGAACTTAATACTCCTTTTGGTAATGTTAATTTTTTCCTCTTAAATGCTTACTTGCTTCTACTACTTTTCTGCAAATATATGCTCCTACAGGGAGAATTTGGCAAACATGAAATTGGGGAAAATTACATTGCAGTTTGTCTCCTATAATCCCTGGCAGCCATGCAGTGATGCCAGGTGATGATGTATTCTCTGATTGATTTATTGTCCTCAGCAGGGGCTACTCACAATTGAGATGAGCAGGTTTGGCCAGACTTAAGTGAAAACTAGATGAATGGGGAGGATAAGATTGCTTGACCATTTAAGAATGTCTGTAGTACTGTATCTTTTGTTAGTATGTCAGCAGCAAAAATTGTTATCTGTTACCTTTTGATAGGTAAACCTGAACAAAAGGAAACACGAACACAGCTCTGCGGATCATCTCGGGTTCCCTTTGGAAACCCCAAATAAGTGGCCACAAGGGATTGTGTGTTTTCCTGAGAACAGCTCAACATTGGAGTTCTTCCTTTCTGTGTGATGAATAGTGGTTCTGCTACTCTCAAAATGATACCTTATGCCTGCTGGTGCAAAATACCATATGGTCACTTGAGGGGAAGTCAGAATTTACCCACGCTGCTGTTGTGTGTTGCTAGGTAATTTTTAAAGCAGACCTAAAATAAAGGGGGAAATGCAGGGTAATTTAGGGGGGAAGCCCTTTGTTATAGTGGCCACCAAAAATCCTGTTAATTAAAGAAACAATATCCAAAAAAACCCTAACCAAACAAATCTCAAAGCCTGTTGTATCAGTCAAGCCAGTGAAGCTGCCCAACATGAACGTGCAAGGTAAATGTAAACTGTCCGTGGGTGTTGCACTGTCACAGCTGTTCCTGCTCAGTATGCAGCACTGGCAGCTTGGAGCTCGTCCTGCACAGCTGTTCTCTATTGGAAAGACAGTAGTGCAGATACCCTGTTATGCTGAATATGTGTTATTACTTGAGATAGGAGAACTTAGGAGTGGGTTTTCAATTTTCCTTGATGATGGCACAATATATGCACAGTATCACTCAGTTCATGTGTGATGCATCTGTTTTCTTCAGAATAGGCATGTGTATCATGCTGTTAGCCTTTCAGACTATTTCAGATTCATTTTGCTTGGCACCTATGCAGTTTGAGCTTTAATTTAAAGAAAAGCTTTATCACATGAATTAAAATTCAGAGTCTGTTACTTTGAAAATAACTTTTTGCTGTGTTCCTGCTCACTCTTAGAAATCCATTTCTCATCACTGGCTGTGAAGATACGTTCAGTTCTAACAAAGTCATTACTGTTAATCATAAACAGTAGGGTTTATATTGGTTAATACAGGGTAGAGAGGTTGGAATAATCCTTATTTTTTGTAGAGAGAGAATTCTGAAGAAACGGCATAGAGGCACAGACCCGATAAAACCCACACATATTGTAGCACTACCAGCAGTCTTACTGGCTGGTTTCAGGGCCTGTCTTCAAAAACATACCAGATTTATGTGCCTACAACTTTTACTGATATCTACTAGTTGCCAAGAATATGGTTCACTGCTTTCTCTTTAGTAAATCTAGGTGGCCAAGAGCAGGTAATATACACTGGCTGTTGCAGAAACTGGAGAGACTGGGTTAGGCCTATGGTTGCTTTACCCTTGTTAATAGGGGGGGGAAACTAATTATTGTGGTTTTTTCATATTAAAATAGAGACTGAAAGATGTGCAGTTTGTAATTATAGCTTCCCTTTAAGATGGGTACATAGCTATCAATAGCTGCATTAATTTCACCATGTGAAGGTAATGTCCCAGGACACTAAATGCTTGTCCAGATGACAATTACAGCCTGGACCCTGTGACTGACAATTTATCACTGTGGCCATTATTGCATTTGACTTGCCAAGTGATTTTAATCCTGTCACTTGTAAAATTATAGCTGTAGTTAGAAAGGTTTAGTGGACTATACTGTGTCATTTTTGCTTTAGGAATAAGGTAACAATCTTGATTAATGTCCAGTACAGAATAGATAATGGAACTTTTGAAATTTGATAGATAGCAAGCTGCACCATGGAAGTGGGAGGTGCGGTAGATGAAAAAGAATCAAATGGGAGAATTGATAAATTGACAGCACTTATATAGGACTCACAAGTTGTGCCAACTTTGTATTTATTCTGAGCTGCAAGTCTCAGCCTGTTTTCAGCTGTGTCTGATAAGGTAAATGTTACTTTTATTGTAAATGTTTGTGGCTGTGTGCTGTAATTTACACGTGTGTCACTTCTGAGTTGCTTTTTGGGGGCTGTTCTTGAAGCTAGCCTGAAGGGTGCTACCTGTGTGTGGCTTTCCAAAGGAATTCTTTCTGTAACAAACACTTTGCAGGGTGTGCTAAGTTTTATGATCAAACAGGACCTCAGGATGTTGGTAAATTAAGAAGTCTTTATCTGAGAACATACAAAGTTCTTCACTTCTTTGCGCTGCTGTAATTTGGATCTTTCCAGGCACCTTTCTGCAGGAATTTCATTAGGGCTCCTGGGCTCCACAACACATTCCTATGCCTGAGTAGTGGATTGTGTTAAGCCTATCAAACATTGCAGTGGTCACATGTTCTTTTAAGTTGGAGGTATTTATGGAGAAGAGGTGATTTTAGCTGGGGGAGGAGGGAATGAATGTGTGTGTATAGGTGAGAGCTGTTTTGAAGCCTGGCTGGGGCATGGAGCTGTTGAATTTTAAACACTTTGGATAATTATTTGCACATGACTCTGTGAGGAGGCACACAGAGTTCAAGATGCATACCCTTATTAACACTTTTATTTTGGCATTTTTAATAGAATTACAGTAATTTTAATTATGATTTATTAAATGTAATAGGAATAAAATAATATTCTGACTAGCTGTTTGTTCTTCCAACTGCACTTACTGCAAATACAAGCAGATCTATTGCAGAAGTTGTAAATTTACAAAAGTCTTAAACTTTTGTATCAAATGCTTGTAGTATTAAAATGTATTTTAATGATACTTGTATGCAGTTCTGTTCTGAGATGTTATTATATAGTGGGACATTTCACTCCAGTTTAGTTCAGTTGTATTATTTTGATATACAGCTTTGCCCCTTATAAATGTCAGTAACTAAACCAACAGGAGGCTGTGGAACAAGGAGGCGGCTGCAATGAGAGCAGTTAGTTCTCAATGACTCTGTGTTGGGTGCAGGGATCCTGATTATTGTAGTGGCACTAATATGACAAAGATGGAATGTCACTTTGACCAAGTGCATTGGCAGGCCTAGAAGACAACATGTGGTATGTCTTCTGTCACGTGAAGTATGTGTGTTTTAGAAAACCTCCAAAAAGAAATGACTCAGGACTCTTTGGAGCAGAACTGCACTTAATCTACTCCAAGCAGAAGTATGAAAATCTAGGAATTTGTTAATATTCTTGGAACAGCTGTTGTTTAACTGCTAAGGCAGTAAAAATAAAATTGGGGGACAAATCTGTGTAGTAACAAGTGGTAAGAGTGGGTAGAGAATAAATGGATTTTTTTATAATTCTATAATTTATGGATGTTTGAAAAGAGAAGCTACTGTATTTTCTAGTTTGTTTGAAGTGTCATAGTTATTTACTGTCTCCTTATTTTTTAGGTTACTATTAAAATCTTAAAATGCTGATGAAGACTGCCTTGTGCAGAATCCTCGTGTATCTTAAGCACACGAAAGAGAATCATAAACCAAGTTTTAGTACAAGGTATGTATTAGGATACATGGCTTTATTCAGCAGTTACTGAAATTAGGAGCCCTCTTTTTGTTCATATTGTGATTTGATGTAGAGTAATTCTGCTTCCACACTTCAGCTAATACTTTATTTGAGATAATGTAGTTCCTTGCATAATTCCTGCCACGTGTTAACATGTTTTTAAAGGACTTGAAGTACATGTACACAGCCTCTAGCAGTCAACTCAAACTCTGGCTAGCCATAATGTGTCTTACATCCAAAACTCATAGTGCCACATTAATAGGATGCCAAGTCTGAGCTACTGGATGTTACTGATACACTGCACTCAGAATCCAGTTTGCTTGTATGACCAATATAGTAGCTGCGGATTCTGAACAGTCCTTGGCATGAGCCAGTAGGCTTGATCTGGAAGGCTGTAGCCACGTGCTCTGTAAAACCTGGAGTAGAGTTCAGAGTGTGGTGCCATCTGCCCTGGCTGTTGGCAGCATCTCAGTGGGACTGACAGATAAGAAGGCTTTAAAGGGAGTTTTATGCAGCTTGGTTCAGTAGTTCTGATAGTTCTGAAATTCTGAAATACCAGTTTTAAACACTGATGGGATTTGACCAAGATGTGCAAGTTCTACCGGTAAAGCAAGACAAATTTGGGTTACTTCTCCTCTCTGTTTGTTTAGCCTAGTAAAAGGACTCAGACTATTTTTTAATTATGTGTAAAAAGTCCATGGCAGGGCGGTCAAACTATGTGATCATCTCTCCGTAAGCTGGCATCTGTCTTTGTAGCACAGTGCAGGATGCCACTGACCGCCTTTGTGGCTAGGTCGTGTTCTTTGCTCTGGTGGTTCTTGGAGTTGGTGTTCATCAGGACCACCAGATCCTTACCTGCAAAGCTACCTTCCAGCTAGTTGGCCTTCAGCCTGTCCTGGTGCCTGAGATTATTCCTCCACAAGTGCAGGATTTTGCATTTCCCTCTGTTGAATTTCATGAGATCCTGTGGGCCCATTTCTCCAGCCTGTTGAGGTATCACTGGATGACAGCGTGACGCTCTGGCATTAGCAGCCACTCCTCTTGGCTTTGTATCACCTGCAAGTCTGCTGAGGAAGTGCTCTGTCCCATCACCCAGGTCATAGGTGAAGATGTTGAAAACAACTGGTCCCAGTACAGGAATACTCTGCTACTCACTGGCCCCCAGCAGGACATTGTGCCATTGACCACAACCTTCTGGGTCTGGCTGTTCAGCCAGTTTTCAGTCCACCTCACAGTCCACTTACTGAGCCTGTAGTTTTTATCTCCTTGTCAGCGGAGATATCAGGGCAGTGTCAAAAGCTTTCCTGAAGTCAAGGCAGACAATATCCACTGCTCTCCACATGTCCATGGAACTGGTCACCTCATCACAGAGGCTAGCAGGTTAGGATCCTTAAGAGTTTACAAATTACCTCTTTGTAAGTCCATGCTGACTGCTGCCACCTTCTTGTCCTTCTTGGTCTGGAAATGGTTTTCTGGAATAGCTGGTCCATCACCTTCCCAGGGCCTGTAGTTTCCTGGGTCCTTCTTCCTGCCCTTCTCAAAGACAGGAGTGACACTTGCTTTCCCCTGGTCCTCGCACACCTCTCCCAGTTGCCATGCCTGGTCAGCAATGGAGTGGCCTCACAATGCCAACAGCCAGGTCCCTTGGCATTTGTGGTTGTATCACATCAGGCCTAACACACGTGACTTATGTCTAGTCTGTGTTCCCTAAGCTGGACTCCATTACCTTTCCGATACTGGAAGGGGCACCGAGGAGGTAAGAAAACTGTTGCGCACCTCAGTTTGTAGTTTTGCCTTGCCCTTTACTAAGGAGTCCCCTATTATTTTCTAGTTGTAGTAAAATCAGTATAATCACACAATAATGTGTAATATAAGCCAGGCTATGGAAATAAGCAAGCTACAAGCATTTACTAACAAAATCTAAAAAAGATAAGCAGCTAAAACTCTTAATCAGAAAAGTAGTAGTAACAGGAAAAAACACTTATTTTTTTCAGAGTCTGACTCAAAAATTTTTTTTATTCAGGGGACATTTCGTTTTGGACATTTTGTCTTGACCGTGTAGCCGTTGGGAATTCAGTCTTGGTTATTCCTATGTATCAAGTGTTTCTGTGCAAGAGAAACATTTGGGAGCCTCTGTGCTTGGCAGGTTTCCCAGGCATCTCAGAATTTTTCTGTCCTCAACTTCCAGTTTCCTTCCTGTGAAGGGAAAAGCAGATGGCCGAGGTTCCTTGGAGATACAAGTGTTTCTTTGACTGGCTAAATAACAACTCCTTGTCTCAATGGAGCGATAAAATCCTTTCTTCCTCTTTCCCCATTATTCACTTGTGTGTGTGCACCTCAGACTGCAGTGTGAACCTGGCTGACAAAGCCTAATGGCCTAATGAAATTGTGTTAAAAATTGAAGGTAGATTAGATAAAAATGTGAGTGGATTACATTGTATTTGGGGCAGAGCATGCAAAGCAAACTGTGAAAAAGATGCACAAGACTGGAACGGTGAGCCAAGTCAGTGACCTCAGTTGGATCTTCCTGAACTTGTAGAGACAGGAGCTGGCTTCCATGCATCACTGCAGTCTCTTCTTCAGCTCTGAAATAGATGTGTGCACAGTCCTGTTATACCAGGATATGCACCCCAGCCTGCTGCTGGGGTCCCTGAACAGAGAGAATTCCAAGTAACTTCTGGGGAGAGCTGTCTGGGAAAGTTATGGCATTTCTCAGCTCCTTATCCAATTGTATTTGTTAAAGCATTGCTCTGTTATTTGCTGTCTCCTATGCTGTACTTTGATTACAAAAGTGCATTTTCAAGGAAGTTATCACTTAAGTTCTCTCATAACTCCTCAGCCTGAATCGTACTTAATTCCTGAAATGTTCCTCTCCATTGATTGCATTAGGTTTCAATGAAAGCTGCTGGTGGCTGCACACCCTGAGAAGGTGGCTTTCTGCTATACAGTGATGATGTGAAAAATGCTGCTCTTCACCTCAGAGTTACAAGGACCGTCAGCGGTGAGAATTGTGGTGTCACCTGCTAGAGCACTTAACAGTGGCTGTGACTTTTGTGATGGTACCAGTTTCCTTTGTGTTCGATTATTGGGCTCTTTGTATTATTGTTGTGCTTAACATGTAGTTTTTTCTTCGTTGCTCTCTGTGCTCTTGGGCACACAAATAGTGCTGTTATCTAATAAAATAGTAATTAAATCTGTCACACATGCCTGAATAGTGGAGAGGGGTGAACTGATCACTCTCACTTAAAGCTGTTTTCCTTCTGCTTACAGACTGGGCTGTCCTGTGAGACCTGAGAAAAAAGGGCTGTTTGAAACGATAGGAAGGGACTCAGCCTGGAGGTGGTGCGTCCTCACCAATGTCCCAGCTTGGAAAAGACACATTGGAAGAACGTGAATACAATGTCTGTTTGTGGGGGTCCAGAGACTTCTTCCTGTATGAGGATAGGAATTATGACTTTTGTGACATCACTGTCTTCAGCCTCTGGCACAGACGGTGGTACCCAGGGAGAAGCCAAGTCCAGCATTTCATAGGAAAGCTGATGTTGGCCAACTTTGATGGGTAACTGAGGTACCGACACTCTATCTAAACTGCACTGGAAGCAGATTCTCTTTCTAGAAATAGTGCTAAGGAAACAGTGTTTGATAAAAGGATTAAAGGTTGTACATGCTACAAAAAGAATCAGAGTAAATGATATATTAAAAGACTGCTGCTTGGTTTCAGTTATTGCTTTTGGACTAAAAAAAAGCCTTAAGAGTTAAATGAATAAGAAAATACTTTCAGGCCCTAAAATACATGACAAAAAATAGGAAAGGGGTGGGAGTTAAAAAAAAACCAGTAGTGTGGATTGGATTTATGCTGCAGTAGTTTTGAAAAACACAGAAGTATTAATTACCAAGAGAAAAATGATCTGAGCCAGTGACAGCTGAAAAGAACTGGAAGGAAATAACATTGGGGTTATTAAGCATAGGGGAGACCACAGGTGCAGTAAGCTTTCCGTTGAGGTCTGTCCAGTTGAGGTGGAAATTATGCTGCAACTGCCTGCTGTCTTAATGTAGCCCAATAAAAATTTGAAAACCCATGAATGAATAATGAAAAATTAATTTTTATGTGATGCGATTAACATTGGCCTGTAATGTATCACCAGGGGTTTTTTCAGTGTTTCTGTAGCTATTGTTAAAATTGTTTCAAATTAAATAACAGGATGTTTACTTTCTGTTTCTTGAAATCAACAAGGCAGTGAACATGAATTGAAGGCTGGAGAGGAACCTCACCCGGTTCAAAAAAGGCAAATGCAGAGTCTGCAGTGGGAACTGAATTAAAGCAGTTTTTTATCCTGAGCACAGACTGTTTGCGAAGTAGCTTTGCAGAGGTTGATCTGGGGCCCTAAAGGACGAGTGAAGATGAAGGTGTCCAACCACATTCTAGCTCCCATTAGAAGAGCACAGCTGAGCAAGGGCCAGGAGAGCAGTCTGTCCTCTCTGTTCAGCAGGTCTGAGACTGCAGCTGGAACACTGTACACTGTGACCAGTTCTGGGCTCCTGAAGACAAGATATATTGGGAACAAGTCCTGTGGAGGCCAGTGGGATGACCAGAAGTTTGGAGCACAGGAGCTACGGGGCTGGACAGCAGGGTTTGTTCTGGCTGGAGAACAGGAGGTGGCAGGGCCTAGGAGATATTCTTAATCCAGCTGTGTAACAGAAGGGGGTAGGGACGATGGAGCCAGACTCATTTTAGTGGTGCACAGCAGTGTTTCAGAGTATGGAAGTGTTGCATCACACTGCTTATAGAAACAGTGCAGGTCAGTACTGTGTTGCTGTACTTACTTGGACTCCCTGCACTGTGAAACCATTGGGGGTTTTCTGGGAATCATTTTGTTTCAGGAAGGATGCATGCAAGGGACGTGGTCTGTGGGGTTCTCTTGTGGTTTCAGGTATCTTGATTATGCTCTTCATAGAAAGAACTATTCCAATATTGACACAATAGATGTGACAGATGCAGGAAAGTAAGGGACCTTTCAAAGCTTTTAAATGTCCTGTGCAAGCTTTTCCAGAGGGATTGTCTCATCCAGCTTTGTAAAGCCTTTTTGAAAAAAAAACTCTGTATGTCAGCACAGCCTTTACAGGCTGGGGCTCTGCTGTTACTGCTTGGGGCTGGGAGAGCAGCTTTTCTCCCATATGGATGATTGTGTTCAGTGTAAGACATGCAACTGCTGTTAACAGGCCTAACTGGGCTTTTCTTCCCCAAAATTAAAGATCCTTTTTAAACCTTAATTTTTCCTGCTGCCTCAGTCCTCCTCAAATTTGTAGTCTGTGGTGTCTTTTGGGTATTTTTAGGATTTTTTCCAAACTTTTATTTGTCCTTCACTCACTCAAACATTTTAAGACATGCACAAGGTGAAAAATATCTTCCCCCGTGCATGCCCATGGCTGCACCAGTAGCCATGGGGCCTCTATAGTTCTCTTGCCTTGAAAAGGGCAAGACTTCATTATGGACTCCAGCAAAACTAAACAGCACTATAGGAATGCACATGCAGGGTCATCACTGCTCCTGTGCTCTTGGGCTGCCACCACTCTGACAGACTGACCTAAGGAGAAAGACGTTACAACAGCTGTTTTCCAATACTGTAAGGGAAGGCAAATGGCACTAACAGAATTAGAGCAAGTACAGACAGGCAGAACATTTTGGGACAGTCCTCATGCACTTGGAGCAATCCTAGCTGGCTAGGATGGCAGCTGCATTCTGTGCTGTCTCCTCCACATGCTGGAACAGCTTTCTTAAATTCAGACTGATCAAAACCCATCTCGTTTTTGAAAAATCTGTGCTTTCTGCACCCAAGACCTGTGATACAGTCAGCTGCATCACCCACCAATCCTCAGGACCTGTGAGAGAAGCCAGGAACACAAGTGCTGGTGATGAAGCAGGGGAAGATAATGATCCCGAGCATTCAGAACCATTTACTGCCATTGCAATTCATAGGAACTGCAGCTGCTGATGCAGAAAAAAGAAACTGAGCAAGTACTTACAAGTATTTCTCCACATTGCCTAAAAAATTGGTTTTTATTGTAGCTACCTTCTCTTCAGCCTTTGTCCACCGAAACATTTTTTAGCCATTGGATTAAAAAAAACAGACAAAAACATGCTTCAAACAGCTTTTCATATGCCTTTTATGCATCTTCAGTAACGATTCTGAATTTATATTGCCAACTAAAAGAGAAAGCTGCAAAATATCCATCCTTTAAAAGCATCCCGAACCCAAATTTTATTCCCATGTTCTGTAGAACTCCCTCCCTTCCTCTCCTGTGCCTCAAGAGAAAAGACAAAGCAAACCCCCCAACTCTACGGCCTTGGAAAAACTGCTTGCTATATCAACTCTTGGAGCATTACTAAACATTTTTAGGTTACACTGTACAACAGTTTCTAAACAGCATCTATATCATGTGGACATTTGTTCAAAAACCTCTTATCCCCGCCTTGAAGGGTTCCACTATTTCCCCAACAGAGGAGCACACACACACTGTGCTATTCTATGTGGAGTGCCAGAGTAACCGAGGGAGGGGAGCCACGACCACGAAAACTCACTCCAGCGTAAGGGAACACGAGTGTCCCCTTTCCTTATTCATCATCCAGAGCTATGCACAGTGACTAAAATTACAGCTACACAAAGTCCCAAGTGCTGGTAGTGACACACCTGATTCTCAAACAGAGCTCTTCATGCATTTCAGGTGTTCACACTTGGCGAAGTGAGGTATCTAATGTATTTCACAGAGGTGGAGATACTAAGTCTGTACAGAACCCAAACTTGTTATCATCTCATCAATACTGTCTGCAAAAAGATACACAACTATTCCAAATCAAAACAGAAATGAGTATTTCTATGTCATGTTGCTGTTCTAGTTTTATATAGCTTGATGTGAAATTCCACAAAATTGCAGGTGTCCTTTTTGTCTTACTCATTTGGCATCTCCTAAATAGGAAAGATTAAAACTTTCAAAACCAAAAATTAAAAACTCGTTAATTGAACCTTATATTAAAGAGTCACAGTTCTTTGAAGGATAATTCATACATCTGCATCATTGTGATGATGAGCACTCAAATACATTAAGAATTTATGCACAATAGTTTTGCTAATAATATAGGCACATAGTGGCATGTAAACTACACATGGCAACTAGAACAGCAAAGGCACGATCTGGTTTGGTTTCTTTTTTTTTCTTTTTTTCCTACTTTTCAAGATGTTGGTTAATTAATTTACAAAGAAAAATATTCTATACTCCATGCAGAAGTATTACATTTGTATTTTACAGCACAAGACCATTACAAAACTGCTGTCATCTGATAAAATGGGTCATTTAAATAATAATAATTAAAAAAAATAGCAGCTCTTAGCACTGAGGAACTGAATTTCTGAATTAAAGGACAATACATGTTCTCATCTGTCAGGCTGAGAACATGTGAAATTCTCTATGTATCTTCTTGTCTACAAAAAGCACTGCCTCCACACTGAAAGTAGTTACACATTTTCTGGTTTGCTATTTTAACAGTTTTGTTTTTCCAGATGTCACCTAAGACCTCAAAAGTTAAGATGTCTGTAAAACTACGAGCTGCTCCTCTAATACAAAAATAGCTTTAAACACTGATACAACCAGGAACCTGACTGCAACTCTGACTTGAGCCTATTCAGATGTCTTTGTTCACGCCTGCAGTTAACTGTGTTAGTTCAAAGGGAATCACTCTAAGCACAACTGCTGTCTAATTGGGAGGCAGGAACAGTTTTAAAACAGAACACAGCCCTCAGCAATTTGAAGTTAAATCTAATGCAGTCATTTTAAAGTGGAATTTCCAAGAATATGACAGTTCTGCATTTCACATAGAAACATTAGGGTAAGTAGAAAACTTTAGTTTACAAATGAAAAAGATCTTTCTATTAAAAAAGACATTTCATGTAGTTACCTTAAATAGTTCTTATATGCACCATTCCACATTGTGGAAAAGCTGAAATATGCAGTCTGGACTCCACAAGTAAAGAAAAACAAAATTATATGTATCGGCACAAATACTTACATCTACATCTGTACAAAGTACAAAAGCTGACAACCCTGTCCCACTACTGCAGCACATTCAGCTGCTCTCCAACACACTTTCCTACATGACTGCAGTGAGCAACAGTGAGCTGGGAACTAAGTCTCAAGAGAGTGGTGCTAAAAAGTTCCAAACTGCTTTGTCAGTCTCTGAACAGAAGAATCAAAGTGTCAGTCCACTCAACACGCTCGCAGCTGGGAGGTCACTGCAACTGCACTCTGTATGCTCCTATTAGCAGCTTTACCTGCAAAAGCAAACAAAGGTTTCATTTCAGCATTGTTCATGTCTAACTACTGTGTTAAGCACTTATAATGTAGGAACATCACAATTGCTAGTGACTGAGAAAGAAAAAAAATTTACAAAGTCTTTCATAAAATCAGTTTATAGTACCCCTGCTGAGCTAACAATGGCTTGTAAATAGACTCCAGTAGAACAGAAGTGCATCAGGTGGTGTCTGAACAAGTCATCCCCAAATCTGAACTAGACAGAGACATATACTTCCATCTGAATACACCTTTTTCCCCTTAAGAAAAGAAAATCCAAAAAGCACAGTAAAATTTAAGAGTGTAACTTTCAAATCTGAAAATGTGGAAAATTTACTGATGTATCTTCCAACGATGCATCTTGCAACATGTAGTAGGGAGTATTGCCCAAGCCACCTGTAAATGCAACAGACTGTACAGACTATTTAAAAGCAGAGTGCATACCCTGGTAAATACTTCCAACACACAAGCAAAAACATCTCTATGCAAAAAAAAAAAAAGGACACTCCATGTATCCTTTAATTATTAAATTCACAATATAGATGGGGAAAATGTTTAGCTGTAACATTAGTTTATCCTGGTGCGTGAATTATTCTGACTGCAGCATAAAACATTTAATTACAAGAGAGCTAACCCTTGGCAATGTTCCTGAATTCTGGCAATGTCCCAGGGTGGAACTGTAACTGATGGGAACTGGGATGAGGAGGCAGTGGAAAATCCTTAGTTTTACATTTGCAACATACAACTATAAGGATTTAGATTACGGAAGAATTATTGTACAACTAAGTAACATGCACATTTAATTTTGAGAACATTTTGTACCTTGGCAGTAGGAGCGTCTGCCAACCGTATGAAAAGCTTGTTAGGACCTACAGTAGGACTGAAGGAATAAATAAAGTGACTATCCTAAAAGGAAGAAGAAAATGGACAAAGTTAATGGCAGGATATGGCTAAAAGAGCATTGTGAGAGGACTCATAGAACACAACATTTTCACCATGCATTTTTTTTGAAAGAACATTGTGTATACTGCAAAGAACCTTTGGTGCAACCACTGAGAAAACAAAGAAGACTTCAAATTGTGCATTTAATAGATTAAAAAAACCTCAGAAATTAAGCATTAGAACTATGAGGTAGGTTGTTAAAAAAATATTTAAGAACTTATTTGGGTCAAAAGAACGAGAGACTTAGGTGAATTTGAGAGTGACACAGCTTTAAATTCAGAACTCTCACCAGCCTGCTCAAACCTGCAGTTCTGAAGTCCTGGAACACATGGGCTGAGGTTGGAGGAGACCTCTCAAGGGCATCTAATCCAACCCACTGCTCAAACCTAGAAGGAGGCTGTCCAGCCTTTTAAGTCATAAATTTTTACGGAATCTAGTATGAGCAAGGTTTGTAGTCCTCTCCACATACAAAGAAAATTAAGTTTCATTTAAAAAAAAAACATGTGACCATAAAAAAATGCTTCATCCCAGTACTTGAAATCCAAATTACAGCACTGAGATTTCCCAGGCTGCTCCATGAAGATTCATGAAGAATTTATAAAGTAGTTTTACAGTCAGTTATACAAAAAGATTTACCAAAAATACAGGGAGCTGGAATTTGTCATTTAAAACCACAGCTTGCACACTGCATGGTCCACAAAGCCGAGCACTGACTTCTTTACCACAGAAATTTGCATGGAAAACAAAGAGAAGAAGTCCAGACCCTGAAAGGGAAAAGCAATTCAGTCACACCAATTTGAAATGAGATCTATTATTTAGAACTGCCTACACTGAACCTTTCTAGACAGTCTGGTACAAATATATGTATATATATTAAAAAATACTAGAAAAACCCTATTATATAGTATATACAAAACCCCAATGGATTTTCAAAGCAACATGCAAAAATCCCATTTCCCGAGCCAGTGGATCCAGAAAACAACTGACTTGGTCATTAAGTTAAGGTCTTTTGGCAGCAGAAATGATTTTATGTGGCTACTAGAAAGGAATGCAGAATTGAAACAGCAGTCCTCAGCACAGTTCACCTCTGTGGTTTCAGGTTTACCTACAGAGAGTTATGGAATTTAATGCGGTTTGGGTCTAGTCAAAGCGAACTGAGCCCAGTCAATTATAGATCCTTATGAACTGCACCAAAACTCAATAAGCAGCAACTTTAAATACCCACAAATGCCTCATTTTAATACATAAAAATTCTATAAAATACGATACTTATAATCCAAAACTGGAAGACTTACACTACAGCTCTGAACTACCAGAAAACTGGGCTGACACTCCACTTTCAGTCTTCATTTAAGTGGAATCTAACAGTCACACTAATGTATTACTTTGTGAAAAATCGGTATCAGTATATATTTCCCTGATATACTCAATAAAAATGACTCAGCTAAGCCAAGCAAGAGAGTATAGTATCTGAATTTCTGAAAGAATGAAGGTAAACCACTCCTTTCCTATAATGCCTGTCACTTAGCTAATGTAAGCCATGAACAGAAAGAAGCTGTGTATGTGGCAATTAAAAAAAAAAGCTTAAAAAAAAGATACACACAAACCCTACCCATGATACAAAGTATAATTGCTCTCCCTATGCTCCATGATCAGAGCATCCTTCATGTCATTTACTGCAATGTCGTACAAAAATAATTTTGCATAGTAGACTCTAAGACATACTTAGAATGCATTGTTTTACCTTTTTAAAACAAACAAAAACCCCACCACAACAAGAAGTCTCCTACCTTCTGGCACATTTTGTGGGGGTCTATAGTGAAAATCCGTGGAGAAGTCTGGCCCTTCACAGAGACGATGACAGGCAATTGGAAAGACTGGCTCCAGCAAAGCCAGACGAGCTTCGAAGTACTTCCTGATGGTATCTTCTGCTACTTTTGAGAGCCTGGAAGACCAAACAAGTGAGGTCTCTACTGCACACAGTAAACTCTTTCACCAGGCATAGACATAGTGAGAGATTCTAGACCACCTTTTTAGATTCCTGATTTTCAGGAGTGAATTCCTTCATCATTAGCATTTATGCACAGACGAACCCCAGATTCCAATGCTTTGTTACTAAAATATCAGCAATCTGTTTGTGAAATGCATTTATCAGGTCCACAAAAATAAAATGGTAATACAAATGCATAGCAGCAGATTAAAAAAAATTCCAACTAGCCACATATTTTGAAGGCTTTTTATGTAGAAAGATATCCCTTAAACATCAGTTTCTACCTGGTGGCTAAACAGAAACCAACCTGGCTGACTTATCAACCTGACTGTAAGTACGATGTAAAAATAAACAAGTCCTTGTATAATTTTACTGGCAATACTACTGGAAAAATGCAGTTCCCAGTTAAACTCTACAAATATCACAGTGAAAAAGTAGCAAGAAAATAGCCAAGTTAGGCTTTCTTGTTTTTTTGGGAGGTTGAGGAGGTGGGGGCAGTGAGCAGCCTAGCCTTCAGAGGAACCACATTAACCAACAGCATTTGGCACCCTTGCTCACAGGTTACTCAGTGATCCCCTTCAGAAAGCTGTTTGTCAGAAATGGGTTTTAAATCCTTGTGCACAGCAAAGGTCCCGACTATTGTAGCTTTATAGCTTTTATTCAGTTATTATTCAGAGCACAGTTTCCTGCCTTGCTAGCCAAGATTATCACCTGCAGAAACTAAAACTTAAGCGTTTACCTGGAAAGAAACCCCAGGAATTGCCATGCCAAAGCGAGCCTGGAAGTGCATGTAGCCTAGTTTCCAGTTGCTTGACAAAGTTGTATTAAACAGTCATCTTTTTTTGGTACACTGTCCTATTTTCCAGCAACCTGATTTAGAGGCATCCAAAACTAGAGACTACAGCCAAATCACGTCTCCTTAGATCTACGTAAGCCATTCTAAAATCTCGTGCATTTGTGACCACAGCATTCTGCAACGAGATCCGTAATTCAGTTTTTCTGTGCAAAAATATTCCTACACTTCAAAGCTATCACTAAATCATTTACTAGGAGGGCCTGCAGAACCTGTCTCATGATTTTGGGTTATTGTCTGTTGTTGTTTTCAGATTTTAAGCTTTCAATAATTTTATTTTCAGCTCCACTACTACTGTATTATCCTCCTTTTTGACTGACAAAAACCACTGAACTGGTATTTTCAGGTAATGAGTCTAGAAGCTTCCTCAATTGGCAAGAGCTGTGTTACTCCTTGTATAGTTCACATTACCACAGTAACACCCCATGGACATCACTTTGCAATTATCAATATTTAATTTCAACTGTCACTTCACTGGCAAAATTACATAGTCAAGGTCTTGCAAAACTCATTATTCAGATTAGATGAAATGGAAGGTGGCAGATGTTAAATAGGAAACAAACTGAAAAAAACATCAAATAGCGAATGAGTGACAAAGTGTCAATGAAGTGAACAGCAGGTACCAGATCACTTCTCTGCATGCTTGCTGTTGCCTTCAAAACCTTAACTCACAAATCACAATTTTCTTCCCTAGGGAAAAACCAGCATACTCCATTTATCCACTTCAGCTGCCCCTGCTCACTTTAACAAGCTTTCTATGCTTGAAAAATTATTATTAGTTTTTATGCTTTTAGCACTTTTTTTCCATTTAGCCTCGTACAAGAAGAAAACATTTCCTATAGTGTTCACCTGCTCAGGACAAAAATTTGATGCAGTGATTTACAATACCTCAGACAACCTTTACATGGCATTAAAAACTTTCACAATGCTTTCCTCCCAGTATGAAACTGGATCAGAACACATTACTTCAGTAAAAATCATGAGCACAAAATCTAGCTGGAAACCAGTCACTACTGGTGCACCCCTGAAGTCAGTACTGGGTCCAGTCCCATTTAAAATCTTCATTAATGACCTGGATGAGGGGGCAGGGCACCTCAGCATGTCTGCAGATGAGACAGACCTGGCACTCCTGGGACCTTCTGGTGTATCTCTGTCATCCACAGGAGACCTCAACAGGTTGGACAAATGGGCTGACAGGAACCTCGTTATGTTCATCACGGAGCAGTGCAAAGTCCTGCCCCAGGTACCAGGACATGCTGGGAATCACCCAGCTGGAAAGCAGCCTGGCAATAAATGACCTGGTGGACACAAGGCTGAACTTGAGCCAGCAATCTGCTCTTGCTGCAAAGGCAGCCAACAGCATCCTGGGCTGCATTAGGCAGAGCATTGCCACAGGTCACAGGACGGGATCCTTTCCCCTAACTCGGCACCGGGGAGATCACACCTTGAGTACTGTGTCCAGTTCCAGGTTCCTCACCACATGAGAGATGTACTGGAGAGAGACCAACAAAAGGTCACAGAGATGATAAAGGGACTGGAGCATCTCTCCTAACAGTAAAGACTGAGAAAGTTGGGACTGTTCAGCCTGAAGAAGAGAAGGCTCAAGGGATCTTAGGAACTCCTTTATGAAATTACAGAATCATAAAAACACAGAATGGCTGAGGCTCGAAGGGACCTCTGGAAGTCATCTAGTCCACTGTCTCTGGTCAATCAGGGCCACCAAGAGCTAATTGCCCAGGACCCTGCCTAGATGGTTTTTGAAAGTTTCCAAGCATGGAGACCTGATAACCCCTCTGGGCAGCCTGTGACAGTGCTCTATCACACTCAACAGTAAAAATGTGTTTCCTGATGCTCAGAGGAAGCCTCCTGTGTTTCAGTTTGTGCCCACAGCCCCTTGTCCAGTCACTGGGCACTACTGATAAGAGCCCGACTCTGTCCCATTTGCCCTGTCACTTCAGGTGTTTTTTGATACACACACATTGACCATTACAAGGCAGTTTCTGTCCAGATAGATTTAAGACATCAGCTGAGGGAAACACAAGAGATCAGAGCCAGAAAACAGCCAGGGCTCTCTAAACACTAAAAGAGAATGAGCTTGAACTTCAAACTACTTGATAGATTATTTCATACTATGGCGATGAATCACTAGGATTAAATCACTATGAAATAAGAGAAGAATCTTGCACTGAAACAGTGTTCTTCCAGCACTAACTATGCATTCATGGCAAAATCTCACCTGCTGCAGAAGTCCTGAGACCCTGCCTGAGTCTTCTCCAAGTTTATAGATTGTTGGTTTTGATTTTCTACCCTGATACAGTAACTACCAGTATTCTTCCAAACTGATATTTAAAGAGCGTCCTCCTTCTCTTTGTCTCAGTTTAGCTCAGTTATTTTTACATGACCATACGACATCAACACTTCACGTATCACATACGCTGCACTGCTCTTCAGTCATTCTGCTGCATGACAAAAGATTTTTATTTCCATCATCTACTGGCATGAAAGCTTTATCCCTGGCACTCTCAGTGCACAGCTGATTTTGAAAGGTCCAGCATCACCCCAACTATCTGCACTGATTTTTCAGTGGTTTTGTTTGGTGTTTGTTTGATTTTTTCCTATGCTTTCTAGCAAGGTATTTTATTTGGCATGCCCTACTAAGAGTTTACATTCAACTGTCCAGTGCTTATACACTTCTTAGTTTCCATGATTGATGTATTTCTAGTTTAAGGAATCTTTTACTTCTAGTAATTACCTTTTCCTCCTTTCCATCTTTTTACTCAGTGTTTGAGCAAGTGTATGCTGATTCTGGTAGTTCACATAATTTTAATTTCATGTGATTTATTAGTTAGCTTTCTGCCCAAATCAGATCTGTTTTCTTTCCTGAAATTTTCCCCTCTTCCTTGTAACTTCAACCAAAACTATGACATGTCTAAGTGTTACAAACTTCAAAGTAGTTTACTCACGTTTCCAAATGGCTCCTGAGCTGTTCATACACCAGTATGTTATTACATTGTTTAGCATAATGCATCGCATTGTTCTGATGCTTTGACAAAATGTTACAATCTGCTCCGCTTTCAATCATAAGCCGCACGATATCAGAATTCCCTCTTTTACAAGCCTGTGTAGAAAGGGAGAAGGTGGAAGGATAGAAAACAATGACAAATCCCTGTCAGAACACAGCATAATGTGATGATAAGCAGAACCACAGAAATTAATTAAGTCCAAAATTAGTTACAATCCAGAAGACAAGTTTAGGTAGTTGGTCTCTGAATGGTAACAGAACCAGAAACTCAGGAACACACTCCATAATTATTTTATCTTTATCCAGACAATATGACACACCTGATCCACAGAAGCAGCAATGATCAGGACTACCAGTGGACATAATTAGGAAAAAAAAAATAAATAGATAAAGCAAGCCCCAAAACTTCTGTGTAAACATGCAATCTGCTGGAGTTCAGCAACTGTAAATTTCGTTGCAATTGTTTACCTGAATAAATATGTTTCTGCAGAACTATTCAGAATGACTAAAGTAACATTTCCAAGTGCCTGTTTCTAGACACCTCAGTTCAAATGGTATTTCGGGTGTGCAGTAAATTAACAGAATTTGCCCCAGATCATTATTTAGCTATGTTAGACAGTCACTGTTATCCACTGCTTAAGTGTCCAAGGCTGTTCTCTGTGATTTACACCAAGAATTTCAGGGTATGTCAACCAAAGACTTAACAAAAGCATAAGGAAATCTAAAAAAGTGTTACTTAGAAGAATGCAAACACATGCTCTTGGTCTCTTGCTTTCAAACGCTTCACTCAGACAAATTAGGGAAAGTCACAAGTGATACAACTTTCTATCTCTGTAAGGCCTTTCAGAAGTTAACTTCTGAAATTTGTTTCTACTCTGAACTTTTATTTGTGCCTTCAATCCATAATCTTCCATTAATAAACCAACCCACTTACCTCCCTCAAACCAAAGAAACCACAAAAATCCCACACCACCTCACAGAAAGAAATTAAGTGCCAAGACTTCCTCCCCTCCTCTTAAAAAGTATGATCCAACTCCTAACATTAGAGTGTAATAAACACATTGATATGTTTATCCACACAGGGCCAAACTTGTTCCATAAATTACTGGAAATGAAGATCCTATTCCCTGTGTAGCAAAACAAATATCCACAGTAAGTGGCTGCCAATTACAAAGCATGTACAGCTGTGCATCAAATCCTAACAAAACCTTTAAAAACAATGAAGGTCAAAACTGAGGTTCATGGAGGGAGCCAAATTAAGAAGAGATTTTGGACTGAAGTGGCCGAGGAAACCACAAGTGTGATGTTGTTTTCTTTAGAGCAAATGTGAAATCCCCACAGTTCTTAAGCCTCGCAGAGAGTAGAAGAGAAACAATACCACATTGTCTGGACAGAAAAGCTTTTGTAACTCATCTGCAAACAAACTGCATAAATAGCCTACATATAAATACAGCAAGTTTATCCAAAGGGGAACTTTGGTAAAATTATTTGATATAAAGAAAAAATTATTAAGAGAACAGGTTGTTTTAAGAGTCTTAGAATTTTCCCATTACAACAAAACAAAAAAAATTTCCTTTGTGACCGGGGGAAGAGGTGCAGAACAGGCAGTGGGAAGGAGACTGAAAACCAGCTATTTTATTCCTGGCTTGCAATGAAACGACAAGTGTCAATCACAGCAACACCCAAGGGAAAGATTTTCCTTTCTGGACTTTTTCTCTTCCTGCTGACAATCTGATTATCTCAGTTTAAAGACCACATCTGCATTTCTTTGAGCCAAACAACAGAAGAAGAAGATGAGCCACAGTTAGCACTGCATGCTTGACAGCATCTACATTTATTGTTTAGATATTACAGTACATGTAAAAAAAAAAAGGATTAAAGAAACGCTGCTTGGAGTATTGTTATTTCAAATGTAGTATGTTCCCTAATTGAACTCTACAAATATGTTTTTATGTTTTATTAGTTTGCCAAAAGTATTTACAATTAAACTGTGTCAAGACAAACACTGAATTTACCTTCATTAAGGCAGTTTCACCACTGCTCTGCCGTGTGTTCACATACGCCCCAGCTTCCAGAAGAATAGCTACTGTTGTTAAAAAATTCTGAAAAGAAAACCAACCCAAAACCAAAAGACAAGTAAGTAAAAAATATTCTGGTTTTGTTTCAGAGTATAAAATGACATTTACTTAAAATCCACCCCTAAAATTCAAAACACAAGTCATTACACAATTAACACTTTTCTCTCCCATGGCTAATAAAGAACAATTTAGACTCAGGCAAGTAGGATAACTGTAAATATTCACAATTCTTACTTTTTTCTAAACCCTGCAATAATGAACATTATAGGAAGAAAGCAGTGTGTTTGCATTAGTCACCAAACTGGAATCAAGCTTCCTTCTGGCCTTCTATATACTGTACGTGGGAAAGCACACAAACCAACCTGAACAGAGGAGAACACCTGTGAACCTTTAACTTACTATGATTTTACTAGTTTAGCTGGTCTTAGTTTGAGAAGACCTTGCCACTGTGTCCATTGCCCAACTTTTAAACAGTAAACCCTACTTAATCAGAGATCTTCTCTTTAAGACTTCCCAGTTTGGATCCTGTGTAGCCAGAGAACATAACAAGCAATTCTAACACAAGGACTTCAACTCCCATGACAGACTAAAGTTCAAAGAGATCCTTTGCCTCCACTTTTCCTCCTATGATATTCTCTACTCAGGGTAGGGTTTGTGATCAGAACTTATTTACACTACAGTAACCACAGCTGTTGAAATCATGCATTTAAGGTCACCCCGCTGTATCTTGCTAACTAGTTCTAGGCATCATCAAAAGGAAATAAATTGTGTCCCACCTTTAAACATAAGTAAAAGAGCCAAGAACCACAAATATGACAACAACCAGGCCAACCTTTTCAACTGCATGTATCAATGCTGTTGTTCCATTTTTCTGTCTGCCATTAACTTTAGCTCCTTTCCTGATTAGGATCCGCAGAAGGTCATCATGCCCACCAGCAGCAGCAAGCATTACTAGGGTCATTCCATTTGAGTCCTGTAACAAGAATCATTGCCATTAAAAAAAAAATAATAAAAAAAAAAATCAAATACTTCAAGAAAAACCAAAGCTGCAAGACAAGAACTGCAAGCGTGCCAACAGGTTTCCCAAAGATTTCACTCCCTGGCGGAAGAATTCACACATGCATGGCTGCCAGACACTGACAAACTATCACCTCTCACTTCTCTGGTCCAGAGGTCTCAGTCTGATCTCCATCATCTGCAAAATTTGTAACGTTCTGGGGACCAGAACAAGAAGGAGGAAAACCGGAACAAACCAGGAAGTCAGGCAGTAAGGTATTTGAGGGTGGGCATGACAGCAAGACAGTGGGGAATAAAAATCAGCAGCCACTGGAAAAAAAAACCACTATGGCTCAAATCAGTTGCTACCACTACAGAGTTTCTTGATTTTACTAGAGTATAAGTATAAAGACACTTCTGTGAGTGGCCAGCCTCCACACTCCTTCCTGCATTTTCCACCAGACACCGCAATTCAAAGAACACATGCTTGCCTCAGTAGTTCATTTGGCATCTTTTCTACTATACTACAGAAGCCTTAGCATAATGCAGAGTTCTCAAAACGCTACACAATACAACTACACGAGATCATCAGTGAAAATACTGGTATCAGAGATTTTAATACTAAAAAATGGAACTGCAGTACTATTTCACAGGAAAATAGATCCTTGAAAAGAAAATCCAGTAAGAACACAGATGATGCGATGGCAAACTGGAAGAAAATTAATTATGGAGTGAAGTGGTCCCAGTGTGCCAGACAGAACTTTCAGGTTTTTGGGGGGTTTTTTTTAGAATTTTTTTTTCCTCCACATATAATGTTTTACATATTTTAGCCACTTGACCTAATGGTTATCATTCCTTATAGCATGCAAAGTTTCACATTTAATATTCAGTTAAACGCAGTGGGCAAATAGGCCGCAAATCCAGTTATTGTGACAGTTCTATCAAACTTGATTTTTTTCTTTGGAAGACATGGATAACAAATACTGAAGCCTCTAAGTCTGTACTGCCTTTTGTCAGCTTGTGCTTTTATCAAGGTGAGATACAACACCAAAGGGGAAAGCTTTTCAAACAAATCAAAATTTGTACTCTTCCCTCCCGCTCCAATACTTCTTTTGCTGAAAAATTACCTCCTGATCCAGATTATATTCTTCATTTGAAGAAAGTGCCATTTTCACTGTCATGTAATCTCCACTTTTAACAGCATCCCTCAGGAGAGCTAGAAAATAAATTCAATGCACTTATAGGATATTTCCCTTTGAAATGTCAGCTAAGAAACACTCCTTTCTCCCAGCAAATACTCACTGCTTGATATTGGTTCCGTTAATACGTGATTCTCATCTTCTCCATCAAGATGCTTCTGGAATTCTTCTAGTGTCAGCCATTCTAACTGCATGTCCATACCCAAACTCAGGACTTGTTGCTTGCCATCTATCATGTATTTGATTTTATGGATGAAAAAAAAAAGTAAAATAAGTAACATAACTTGTAAATTTCCAAACCATTGCTTGCCATTGCTTCAATGATCAGCAGCTTAACCTGCTATTACTGCTTTTCCATTCAATCATGATTATCAAAGGTAGAGTTACCTAGTTTTCCTCAGTTCATCCTCACCAGAGTAGTGAAGGAATTTATCCTGAATAAAGTAATCTAGTTTTTCTGAGATCAAGAGCAGTAACACTTATGTTCCATTATACTATTAAGAATACAAATACAATCTAGACATTTTTCTGTGTGTATCAAATAATTCAGTTCTGGTGAAAAGACTTTTGCTTCATAAAATAAAAGCAGAATTCCTTGTTTCTGGTGTGTGTGTTACAAAACTATACAATATCCACCCTCATAGAAGTAAAAGGAGAATGTCCTGAAGTGTTGTTACCTTCTCTCTTTTAAAGCACTTACTTTTTAGGCTCTTCTGTTCTTTTCTGCTTTTTTCTTCTTTTTCAGACTCTTTTCTTTGAGATTTTTCTTTACTTTCCATTTTCTTTACTTCTTTCTCCTGATATTGAGAACAGATATCAAATTTCAGTGGTAGAAAAAAAATGGAAAATAAACTTTCACCACTCCAACAATAAAATATATTTACAATTAATACTACTGAAACCTGTATGCAACAGACTTGTGGACATTCCTAAGAAAATAATTAAATAGGTGAGTGAGGAATTAAGTCTGTGAAGGCTTCCTCCCTAAGAGAAGAGGTGTTATATCCAGCACAAAACAACTTCAATTAATATTTTTACACAGCCGTGCAAGGTTGCTCTATGGCATGAGGTGCAGGTATGGCAAAAACAGCATTTTGAAGGAAATTCAAAATGATGAACTTTTCATTTGTTTCAAATACCGAACCTGAATAAAATGTAATTATTTCAAACTATTTAACAATTTTGTATCACCAAATCCAAAGCAGTTCTGACAAAACCGACTTGAACCTCAACTGAAAAAACTTGAAATCTGGACACAAAAGGTGCTAAATTTTCCAATTTACACATACAGAATGTTATAGCAACAGTAATTTGTGAAAACGACACTCAGAAAAATCCACTCAAACTCATCCACACAGAAGTTCAAGCTTAGCAATACCTAATATCACAGAAAAAAATTATTGTAGATACATAATCAAATTTGCCAAAATAGGGTTCAAGCGCCTCTACTAAAGTTTGCCTTTCTCCTCCTGTAATCATCTCTCTCCATTCAGACAGAAAATTCAACTGCAGAGTAGGCAGGACAAGGCTCCTTGGCATGGCTTTGTATCGGCCTCCAACCCTAACCTGGAATAACACTGGCTTTCTGAAAAACTGTCCCAAAAGAAGTCCACACAAGAACTACGGACTGTATTCATCATTAAATGCTACCATTTCTCTGACATAGGAAAAAACCTTAATCAAAATACATTAGTTTCATGTATCATAATGTATTAGCAGAGCTGAGACATTTAATTGTCTTTCTTGCCACCTCCCTTTCCTCCACCAAACCTCAGCTTCTGATCCCTCACATGATTAACTAGTAACACAGAGAGCTGCTAATCCTGGCAAATGCTAAGTATTTAGGAGGAAACCTGTAACTTACTAAAGGGACTACTGGATATTCACTACAGTGGGGCTGGTAAAATCAGTAATCCTGAATTGTAGTCTAAATTTCTAATAAACGATCAGATGCACAACATACACATTTATTTTTGGAGGTAAATCAAATTAAAAGAAGGGTTCAGCATGCAAACTGATTCTAAACAGAGAATACTGTGCTATAAATTGACATGATGGTGGTTCTACAAGCAGAGTTACACAAGAAAAGGCAGGTAGCTGAAACATACACGATGCTTTTATTTGAAAAGAATAATCTGCTTGGGCCAACAATGTAGTGAACAAAAAAACCTCCAGAACACTCCACCAAACCTACCCATATAAGTCCACAGCTGCCCCAGAGAGTAACTAACCAGTTACAGAAAACAGTGTTTAAGCTTCCTAAACTCAAAAAAGGCAAAGAGCAGAATGCCTTCCCTGTTTCCTTGGTACCTTGGAGCATGACCTTCCGTGGAGCGTGACCACGAGAAAAGCATACAGACAACCCACTGAGAGTGCTGGCTGAAGAGCCATAAGTAAACCCACTTTCATCTGCTGTTATGTTCAGGGTGACGGGATTTTTATACTACTGGTAAATAGAACAGAACAGAATTCCAAAGATTGATCTGATTATCTTCTCTGATACAAATGCTATAGCCTTGAACAATGAGTAAAATACTTGGGTAATAAAGGGCCATACCATTTCAGGTAATAAAATTACCTTCTGAAACTGGGCTATACCTCATAGTACTTGTTTGTTTTCAAGAGCTTTCACCACTAAGACCCTGCAAAAACACTCTTCTGTGTAGCTCTACTCTGAGATTATGCCATGGAATTCTCTATCCCCAAATGAACTTACTTATGTTAAAGGTGGCCTACTCCATACACACAATCATAAGCAGAGGACTGCTGTTGAACCCACAGAAGAAACTTCCCACCACAGAATCGTGGCCTCAGAAGAGGGATATAATCCATTAAGTATCAAGAAGTTTTGGCTGCAATCCTCTTAAATCAGAACAAGTTTTCTCTGAGCTGCCAATGTTTTATGAACTGCAAACTGTATTAGAACAGTCTGAAGCAGCTGTAAGGAGTTATATTCCCTGTATTAAATAAGGAAAAAAAATAGTATGGTATTTGCTTACCTCATTTCTTACAACAGGTAAAGCATTTCTAATTCTTATGAAACTGTGTCATGAAACTAAGCATTTTCTACAAGCACTCCAGGAATTCTGACACAAGACTGCTGCACAATTATCTGAAGTCTTGGTTTTAGAAGCGATTTCAGCACTCCAGTTCTCAGCTAGGTACCTACTGCATAAGGTGTAATGAAATGGCTGGTGTCTGAGAGAGATCAAATGTGTGTTTCAGCTCAAAGGTGCACTTTGAGCGGTGCTGAATGGACTGTTGCTCAAGACTGTATCTTTTACTACACAAGCAGAAAAAAGTGAAACTGAGGCAACTGTTGAAGGTGGGCAGGAACAAAGCTAAAAACAACAGCATGCTTTGGAAGAACAGTAGATTTCATTCTAAGAATGCATAACAAACAGGAGAAAGTTATCCCTTCCTATTTAAATACACCCTTCTTTCCTAAAGCATTCCCCTTTAATAGCATTCCGAATCCAGAAATTCTTTGGTCTCTCATGCATTATGCAGTGGGCATTTCTTTAGTTTCATGCAGCTCAATACCTTTCCAATTTGTACTTCTGTCTTTGCCATCCTGAACAGTCACTGTTTGAGGTATTTGTACCTCAAAGTTGATTGATTTTATCCTCAACACCCACCCTAATACCTTAATATTGCTTACCTCCCCAGGTGAATCAATGGTCTTGCACACCCTTTCATCAGCACTTAATTTCACACCCTTCTGCACTGGTGAAGGAGCAGGTGACACTTTTTCCAACTCGCCCGGTACTTTTTCTTGACTTGTTTGTTTTTTGTGCATGCTTTTTTTCTCCAAATAAGTATCCTGAATTTCCACTTTTCCACCTTCCTCTCTAGAGTCTTCTTTCTGATTTTTTTTCTTTTTTGTTTTAACCTTAACATCAATACTATCATCTTCATTACTTGCTGATCCATCAAGCTGCCTATCAGCAATGGCATCTTTTTCATCACTTTCTTGTTCCAATCTCTCTTCCCTGCTTATCACCTTTTGCTTCTCATCTTTATTTTCAAAATTTAAGTCTGAGTTTTCATTATCAGTTCCTTGAGAAAATGTATCACCTAGAGTACCTGATTCTGAGTCAAACTGAACATCTCCATGTTTTTCCCTCGGTGATCTTTTATTTTCTTTATAATCTTCTTTAGCTTTTATTTTTAAATCTTTAACTTCACCTTTTTTTTTCTTGGTTTCTTTAGTATCTTCTTTCCTTTGCTTCTTTAGGTCCTTTGAGTCCTCCTTGGTTTCTAAAGTCCTTTTTTTTGGTTTTGAATCAAAAACCAAAGCATCTGAGGAATTTTCACATTCTGTTCTGGGTTTATCTTTGAGTTTTGCTGACTTTGACTTTTTCTTCTTCAGGTCATCTGGACTTCTATCCTCTACATCTTTTGACTTCTTCTTTTTCTTCTTTGGTGAAACATCATCTTTTGTTTCACTTTGCCAGTCACTGTCAGATTCTGCTTCAAATATATCATCGTTTAGAGACAGTTTCTAAAAGGTAAAGAAAAAAAAATATTTCTTTTCCCAATAAACTATCATTTTGGTGCAAAGTCTACAAAACTGGTAGCGGTCATGTTTGGGAAAAGTAAATTTTTAAGCACTTTAATCTTTTGGTCACTGCCACGATCATTCCTCATTGCCAAATTGCAAAGTTCATAAATACAATTCTAGCTTACTTGACCAAGTTACATTACTAACTGCTTGGATAAGAATGAACACATGAACAAGTCAAGTACAATCAATTATACATCCAATAACCAGATTCCAGAAGAGAACTAAATCTGACCCATTTTACACCAAAAAATATTTAATATGATCCTGTAAAATTTACCTCTAAGTTTCCCAGAAGCAGGGTATCATTTTTCAAAAATGATCCTTACGCTTCTTTTTCAAACCGACTGAGCAGTTAAAAATGAGAAAAGAAAAAGCCATATACTGTTTTCTTGCAACTAATTTTTCTGTATTCCTTTCTTACCAAACTTAAATGATAACATGTAAAAATTCATCTATCTGCTACAGAAAGCAAGAGGGTGACGGGAGCAGTGCGCTCAGCTTCACTGACAAGACAATATCCTTGTGGGTAGGGAAAAGGGGTTATTCACATTGTCAATAACAAACTAGAATGGCCATACATCCTTTATATAGTCCCATTAAAAACGGAAATAAAGTTTGGATGGATTCAGAGTCTACAAGCAAACTTGTCAGTTAAGAAAAATCCCTACCAGAGAACAGCAATAACATTAAGTTTCACAAGAAACAAAATCGTTTCAGATGAAAGAGAATCCTTAAGTCTTGTTAATTCCACATTTCAAATGTTTTCCCTTTTCCGTCCTCCCATTAGCAGAGCCTAGACAGTGAATACATCTTCAGTGTAAGATACTGAAAGGTGAAACACACCTGTATGTCTTTTTTAACAGGTTTAGGCTTATTGTCCACAAATTTTTTTCTGAATTCAAGCAGCACTTCTTTGCAGTCTTCCAAATGAACCTCTGGTTCCCAAGTATCATCATCAGAGGTATAACCTTTCCACCGTACTTTATAGAGAACTTTACCCTGTAAGAAAAAAACCACAACATTTAATACAAATACAGCATAGTATTGCATCAGCTACTTAATTCTTGGGGACCTTTGTGGATATATCATTTTGTGTATATGGAAAGCCATGTGATGGGAGTTCAACCCAATGCTGAGATAAGAATTCCCAGAATTATTTCCACCTGCACCACATACTGAACTAAGAAGTCTGTAAAGTGTTTCTGTAGTTGGAGCAGTTTTATCCAAAATACTTGTAATATCTAACATTTGTTTAGAACCATAGCTATAATGTACATCACAAATTCCTGGCCATTTTATCAAAATGGACTGTCTGACACTTATGAAACTATTCTTTTTAAAGTTTTAATATGTATTCTATTTATATTTCAAGCTTGAATTGCTCTTCTGCTGAAGAACTTGATATAAAACAATAAGATTTCTAATGAATTAACACCATTCACTTAGTTCTATATTGGAACTCATAATTTATACTTGTAATCAATTCCATTTTTTATAAACTGAAACACCAACAATTCGGAAAAAGAGCAAACCACCAATAAGATCAAATTACACATAGACAAAAATCTGAGTGTGTGCATCTCAGAGGAGCTAATTACAAAGATTTTGGTAAAAGATTACATACAAAAAGCCGAGACCAATTGTTTCAACAGTATTTAACTTCACTGAGGAATAAAATTGCACCTTTTAGTCTCTCTGTACTTTTTTCTCCTAGATTAGAACGTATTTTACCGTTAAAAATAAATTTATTAGCAAATGTACTGAAAAAAGTGCCTTTGGAGAGGCAAAACAGCAGTATTGCTTTCTTTCAAACATGGAGTGATAATGCTCTGAAAGACCTTACACTGCTAACCAAGTCTGTAAAAAAAAGACTCAAAAGAACTGCCATTTGGCACTTACTGTTAAATGTATATCCATATACCCATACATTTTTTGCCTGAGCATCAGTAACCTTTGACCAAGCGTATATACAAGTCATTAAACTTCACCAATCAGCTCTACTTCCAATCTTCTGTATTTTGTTTCACAGACATATAAATAAATAGCCTATATTCAGACACATTAGTTAAATACTTAAAATTTAGCAAAATGCCCTCTCAAAGCAGGACTAACTAGATCAGGCTGCTCAGAAATCTGCCCAGTCAGTGTATCTATTCAGGTTTCCCCATATTCCAGCTTGTGTCCACCGTCTCTCTCATCCTTTCACTCTGTGCCTCTGACAAGGATCTCACGATCTCCCTTGATTCTTCTCTTCTTACGGCAAAGCAAACCCAGCTTTTAGCTCCCTAACTGTTTTCATAATCCTCCTCTCCAGCATGCCCATGTCTCTTCTGTCCTGGGGTGCTCAGAACTTGACACAGTAAACCAGGTGCTTTGATTAGAGAGGAAGCACCATCTCCCTCAATCTTCTGGCTACATTCTCGGATGCTGCTGGCCTTCTCTGCTGCAAGAACTGCTGACTCACGTTCAGCTTACTTGTCTGTTGGTACTCCCAGCTCCTTTCCTTCAAATCTTCTTCTTAGCCAGCTGGACTCTCACCTCTAGCCCTGGGGCACAGGGTTATTCATCTCAGATGCAGGACTTCTGTTAGCTGCAGAGTTACTGTTACACCCTTGCAACTCAGGTACAAAATGAGGTAGAAGTTCCTTTTCAATTAATTGAGAAAGCTGGATAAAATGAAGTCTAATAGAAACATAACACTGTTTGGCTGCTGAATGACTCTGCATTCCATACATGGAGAGTGATACAAAAATGCAGCTTAAATGAAGACAGGATATTAATTATCACACTAAAGATACATAGGCAGCCTTACACTCGCCTATCAACATTATTTTACTCAATATTGTTATTTTTCCCTCTATTTCACTTAGAAATAATAGAACACTTTCAAGCATTTCTATACTGCTGTAGCTTCTATGTGAACTAGTGATGGGCTAGAACCAACTCCTATGGAAAGGGGTACCACCATGCCATTAAACAGCAGAGTTAAGGTTACCCATTTCCACTGGAGAATATCACAATTTGCTCTGGAGCCTGTTGTTTTAGTGTAACTGTGGTGCAGTATGAAGAGCTTTCTAGATATACTAAGAAAATACATTTTCAAACTTTCATTGCTTGTTCTCTTAAGTAGGACATGTTAATGTTTTATTTATCCACAGGTCTGACTCCCCAGCCCAATCCCAACCCAGGAGTGCAGTCTCTCATCCTACCACTACTACAAGGTTCAGCAAAACCAGGACTGTGCCTGAAAAGTGTATCTCCATACAGTGCTCTGTATGGAGCTCCTGTCACTGTGACACAGGAACACACTGATGCTGCACTGGACAATGGCCAACCCAGTCTACCTGCTTGGACTTCATGTCAGACTTGGGAATCTGCAAGCTGGGAACCACTACTCTAAAGCAGGTTATGTAATACATACTCCACCGAAGGGTAACACACAGCTTTTCCCAGCCATTTTGGAAGTTAGAACGGGCATGAGTTACTGCCTTGTCCTGTACTTCTGACGCACAGTAACACAGGACCCATTGCAGGGCAATGGAGAGAGGACCTGATGCATTTGGAGCTCATACCACAAAACCACAATCAACACAGGCTGAGTGAACCTTGTTGCACTGAACCAGCTCGGAAACTTCCACTTGGAAAACCATGGAAGCAAGACACCCTTTCACCAGCAAATGCCAAAGACATCTTCAAGAGATGGCACTTGATGTATTCTGGTATTCTTTAAAAGTCTGTGGAATCATATGCCTCACCACCACCTAAACCTACAGATTTTAGGTTCCATCGCTGGGAGGGGGGCAAAGGAAAAGAAAAAAACGAATCCTCTTATTTTCAAGCCTGACTTATGCTGACCAACACTTCATACAGGTAAAGCTATAAATATTGTATTACCCCAGAAGCATAACATTCTTAAACCATCAACATATTTCAGCCAAGGTACATCACATAACTCATAATAACACCACAAACATCTCAGAAATTACTGATCTGAAGATCCTCCAATCTAAGGGTTTCAAAACTCTGATGTTTTAGACAAAATAGGCAGAATTTTATAGCATCGTGTACCTCACTGAACCCTAAAATAAAAATAATAAATTAGTTAAAATAAAAATTTTTCAGACACAAAATCTTAAAAAAACCCCTGTATATTAATTATTTTTTCTATTTGAGGGTTAGGAAATTTTTTAAGAACTTCAACCAGTCTAGGTTGCTTTCAAAGAAAGAAATGAAGGTCTGGTATTTCTGTTTAAACAATGCAAAGATACTACAACCAGTTATTTTAATTGATAGAAGTCTCTCTTATTTTAGGAGGTCTTCACGCGTTTTGTAACCCAGTGAACAAGATCTCACTGAACCTATCTTGAAACCATCTCTAAATTCTCCTTTGTATTCAATCTTGTCCATGTCTGCTCTCAAACATTCACATCAAAACACTACTGCAGTTCAGCCGTAAAAGCCAAGAGCAATTTAACAATGGAAACAAAAATAAAAAACAAAAATAGTAAAGGTACAGCTTTGGCTGAGGAGACTGAATCTGGAGTAAGGGGCAAAGAGCTTCTTTGCAAAAGCTGTGCACAACGAGTTTTAGATTACAATTGTAACGGGTTACTTCTTTCGCGTGGTTTCCGCCCAGTGTCAGAGATCCGCGCACTCACCCCCTCGGTCTTCACGTCAAGGATCTTCTCCACCTCGAACACGTCCTCGTCCTCGACGTCCTCCTCCTCCTCCTCTTCGCTCGCTCCGCCGCCAGACTTCCCGCCGGCACCCGCCGCTTTGCCCACCCCGCTGCCGTCTTCCTCCCCGTCCTCCTCATCCTCGGCCGCCGCGGCCGCTGCCGTCTCCTCCTCTCCGTCCGCCCTCTCCATCCTGGCCGCCGCCTGGGCTCCGCTCCCGCCCGCCGCCGCCGCCGCCGCCATTTTGGGCCGCGTTTCAAGCGACAACGACGCAGAGCAGCTGCGACATCCCCGGCCGCGCTGGGGGAGGGCGGGGCCTCGGCCGTCGCAGCCAATCGTCGCGCCGACAGCCCGTGACGCACGGGGGCGGGGCCCCGCGCCCAGAGGCCCTCGCGCCCCCTGCGCTGCGGCAGACGGGCGGGACGGGAACGGGAGAGCCTGAGGGGCGGGGCTGGACGGGACCTGAGGGATCTTGCAGTTCCAACGGCTCCTGCTGTGGGACAGGGGAGAACTTCCGGTACACCGGGTTGCTCAGAGCTCCATCCTGGCCTTGAATACTTCCAGGAGTGGGGCATCCACAGCTTTCCTGGGCAGCCTGTTCCAGTGCCTCACCACCTTCACAGCAAAGAATTTCTTCCTAATGTCTAATTTAAATCTCTCCTCTTTAGTTTAAAACCATTCCCCTTTGCCCTATCTCCCCGTGTAAAAACGTCACTCTTCTCTTTTCTATACTCCCCCTTTAGGTACTGGAAGGTGCTGTGAGCTCTCCCCGGAGCCCTCTTTTCTCCAGGCTGAACAGACTCAGCTCTCTCAGCCTGTCTTCGTAGGGGAGGTGCTCCAGCCCTCTGAGCATCTTTGTGACGGCCTCTGGCCTCACTCCAACAGGTCCATGTCCTTCCTGTGCTGAGGACCCGGAGCTGAACTCATCACTCCAGGTGGGGTCTCATTAAGGCAGAATCCCCTTCCTCAACCTGCTGGCCATGCTGCTTAGGATGCAGCCCCAGAATACCGTTGGCCATGCAAAGACTAAACAGCAGATTTAGAAGCTGTATCATTGTCTATATTAAGAAGTCTTTCTAGTTCTTAAGAAGCCCATATCCTAGCTCTTCTCAAATAGAAAGTGTAGTACAAATATTTCCTTTGTATTTTTACTAAAAAGACCCAGTATCTTACACATATGAAAACAACAATTCAGAACACCTTGGAAACAGAAGGATGTCAGGATATCCCTCTTGGCAACTTCCTCTACAAGATCAAGTTTATCTACTCCACCCTTAGCAGATGTTTGCTTCAATTCTCATGAAAACATCTATGAAAGAAATTCCACAGTTTTCCCTAGTAACCTCTTAAAACACTTCTCTATTACTGCTAGGTGCATTCTCCATTTGCAAGGGCAGTATAATGCATTACCTATGGTACTGTGTGTGATAGCCAATAAAGACCAAAGGAGAGATAATTTGCTTATCAAATTATATTTGCAACACTGTAATTACAAATTGCGATAAACAAAGTCCCAAGTTTCTATAAGTTTCAAGTAATAATTTCATTTAGTGTTTGTCTTGACTACCTCATGCATATTGATTGTATCATATACCTGTATATTCTGTGGGTTTTTGGCTAAATGTTTAATGTGTAAGTTTTCTCACAGCTGAAGCTGAGAGTTATCTCTACAACCAGTCATAGTTCATGTATTCTTAGACGAACAGGCGCCTAAAGATTTAAAGTTCTATTATATTTACAGTTAAGGTTAAAAGAGCTATCTCTGCAGCCAGTCATAATTCATGTATTCTTGGACGAGTAGGCGCCTAAAGACTTAAAGTTGTACTATATTTCATTTTTAGGATAGTGAGAAAGTTTTAGGCCTTTTGACCTTGTGAGGGTCTGTTTTGTTTCCTTGGGGTGTAGTTGAGTTTTAGAATCTATTTGTTCTGTTTTTAATGTAGTCACCCATTTGTTTCACGAATCACAATTGTTTATATATCACACAAACCATAATGTTATGTTACCATAATTAGTGATATTTTGTTATGTTATGTGATAAGAAAAAGAACTGAAAAAGAGAACAGAACTATCTCCCGGCGGCAAGATAGCACATGCGCAGAAAAAGCTGACTACGTCAAAAGGATAAAGTGAGCGGAGCCGAGCTTGTCTCCTAGCAACAAGATAACGCATGCGTAAAGCCTCTTGGCGACAAGAACAGAGCCTGCGCAGATAGACCTGATGAACAAAGGAGGGGATTTTAAAAGAGATAAGCCGCTACAAACCTATAAAAGGCAGATTGGAATTACTGAAGTGTGCCTTGGATGAGCAAAGAAAGCTCATCCAGTCACCCAGCGCTGTTTTTGCTTATTTGATTTTTATATAAATCTATAATAAAACTTTTTGTTATAATATTTGAGCCTAGTGCTGATTTTACTTATAACACTGTGGAATCTCCTACTTCTGAGTATTTTCAAAGAACGGACAAACAAGTGTAGACTGTGTTCTGTACACATTGATCCTGCCTCAGTGCAAGCCATTGCGCTGTCTCCAAATATTTCCTCAGATCACCAAGTACAAAGTTCTTTACCTTAATTTAGAAGATGTAATGTGTTCACTAAACACCTGTGAAAAGCCCATTAAATCAAAATAAATCATCCTTAGTCTGGTTTTGTTATTAGGCTTGAGTGTTTGGTCCAGTATAAAATAAAATTAACGAGTCAGTTTTTCATCAGCATAAAATGAGAATGCAGAGTAACAGCAGGAAAAAAAGAGAGAACTCATTCCTCCTAACAAAACTGATCTATGTATTCACAGATTGACCTATGATCAATAAGAAAAGCAGTGCAGGAGAAAAATAACTGTTCTGCTGTCTGCATTTCAAGGCATGCTGTAGGAACTACAAAACCATCTGACTGAAAACTGATATGTTATGAATATGTTTATTACTTCTTTGTTAATTATACTCTTGTATCTGCCAAAACATCTGCCATATTTAACTGGATTGCTACATTACACTTCATTTACTGTGCCATTAAAGTACATAAGATTTTAGCAGAAATCAAAATGAAGATATCATAAAAGTGCTTTATAATGTGCAATGAACCGGAAATTAATGTAAAAAATGAAGTATTAAGGTATTTTAAACAGTTACAGGCAAAGAAAATACTACATATATGTAAAATCAAGACTTACTAACTGCAAGACCCTTTGTTTTCATACCTTAAATTCTGTGACTGTGAAAATTATTATTTAGTAATAATGTAAGATCAAATGTCCTCAATTTAAGCACTGTATGTAAAACTGCAAGGAAAGATAACTCTGCAATTATCTTAAAGAATTATAAGGTTAAATATTTTATGTAGAAAGGTAATTGATGTTAGATAAACTTGATACCTTGTATCTTCTTCATAGCAGACTCCCAGTCTTTCCCAAGTTCAAGTTGAGAGCAAATAGATGGAAATTGCCTTCTTATGGACTCTATTGCTTTATTCGTAATCACAAAAGCCCAGTGAACACCACTGTGTGTAGAAATGAAGTTTTATTACAATAAAATCTTGTAAATCCACCAAAGAAGCAGAAAGAAAATAATTTCTTCTAATGATAATTATTTGAATGACCCAATTTTCTATAGTATGATGATCCAGCATGTATAAAATACCATCTGAAACAGATGAATATCATTCGTCAAAAGAAGGAAGATTTCCAGGGCTCTCCTGGCTGTTTCTGTATCCTGTTCCTATATGTCCTGTAAAGTATGAAGTCTGTAAAGCTTCCACTTTTGGCACAAGGAATCTGTTATATATCTGTTATAATATCCTTTAGTATAGTCATTGAATCTCCATAATGAAATTAATCTTTATATGTTGAGAAGGTTTATATATAAGATTTTATTTAAAAGCACACCTTCAATTAGATGAATCATCCGGTTTCATCAGTGTTTTGAAAACTAGCCCTTTCAATTTCTTTGTGCAGTGTATGAACTGTAGCACAAGAATGTGGGGGGAGATGGTAGGCCCATGGAACCCCTGGGCCCCCTGGAAGCGGAAGAGCTGGAGGCATTGAGGGGAGTAAGACCGTTCCCCTGAGAAAGGTGGAGGTGGCTGCCTATTCCCATGGAAGCGGCCCTGAGAGTTGGACAGTACAATGTGGGGGGAAGTCACAGCCCCACAACTGAAGTCTGAGGACTTTGGAGTATTGTGGAGTGTTAGGCCGTTTTCCATGGGAGCAGTGAAGCTAACCAGATAGTTCCCATGGACACAGCCTTGAGCTGAGTGCAGGTGCACATTCCTTAGTATTTTTGTAGAAAGATGTTTGTGTTATGTGTGTGAGAAACTAGAAGTAGGAAAACCTAATAAAAGGCTGCCTGCTGCTCTGAGCAGGCAGACATCTCTTTGTCTCATCATCCTCGTGTGTGTTGTGTGTCTTCTTCCCCCCTTGGACCGGGACCCTTCGACAGATACCCAGCGACACAAGAAGAACAGCAATCAATGGCAGTAGCTTTTCTGTTCCATTTGGGCCCAAGGAAGCAGAAGAAGGAAGCAGCATTACTATATAAATGATTTCTTGACAACAGAAAAGGTACTTTCTGCAAAGTACTCCCTATCACTTAAGAACATCAGTTGCCCTAACACTAGCTAATTGATTCACCATGCAATCACTACTAAGTGAGAGTATTCACATTAGTGGTTTGTCAAACATGCTCCTGGCTTTCACACTTAAACTTGGTAATGCATTGTTGGGAATTCTGCAGTTTGTGTTTGCTTGGGTTCTAATTTACTTTAATTTTAATACATGCAACAATGAGAAACTTTTAAGATTTTTACCCTTGGTGAAACATTGCACCCTTTAATAATTTAGAAAGAAGGAACTGTTTTTCCCACCCCCGACACTCTGTAGTTTTCTGCTAGCAAAGAGCACTAATTGACAGAATCAAACAGCAAAGCAGGTATAGGCAGAGTGCAGACTGAATGCTGTAGACAGTGTGTGTATGAATTAAGTAAATATAGAATCATAGAATTATTATAGTTAGAAAAGATGTCTGAAATCATCAAGTCCAACCTTTGACCAAATACCACCACTCCCACAAAACTGTATTGTGAAGTACCACATCTACTCATTTTTTGAACACTTCCAAGGGATGGTGACTCAACCACTTCCCTGGGGAGAAATATTATTCATATTATTTGAAATGTGAAAAGCAGATGTGATCTCTGCCTCTCTCCTAGGAGAGACTTTTCTCCCTTTTTTTTATGTAGAAGTGATGCCTAAAATCTTCGGGAGAAAAAAACTCTCCAGATAAATTAGATAAGATAGAGAACAGCTCTTTTAATGAAGGCCTTCTGGTGCAAGGAGTATGAAAGGTGTGCGCCCACACGCGGAATTCTGACATTTTTATATCTTTTACTAATTATCATATCTAATGGGGACATCCAATCCATCCAATACCACCCACTGGAGTCCCTCCAAGGGCCTTGAGCCTTTTATCTTGTTTTGTTGACTATATCTCATGATATTCCGGTCCAGGTGCACATCTCAACAGAATCCAATGGAATGTTCTTGCTAAAAATCTATTGCCTTGAAAAGACAGTTAAAAGACAGTTAAACCAAAGCTTCAGGAATGTGACACACAAACTGTAAGTAATGGTCTAAAGTGAAGGAAAACTCCAGCTACATTAAAATCTACAAAAAGCTAAGAATCCTAAAAATTCAAAGGCATCAGTAGATATTAATATAACAGATACAAAAATTGAGAATCTCTATTGCTACTCCAACTATTTCACATCCTCCACACATTTCTCCAGGAGATGTGCTTAGCAACCAGGACACTATACTGTGAGAGAAGTTGAGACGAAGCTATATTATTAAAATCAGGCAGTTTTGAAAACTTCAAGTTTAGAGATCCATTTACATTCTAAGTATATCTTATTGAGAGTTCCACTATACACAGAGAGCAATAACACATTCTGCTTTTTAATGACAGAAAATTATTTACTAAGCGAATGCTTTTTCTGGTAAGAAATTCTTGATTAAATGATCAACATTACATTTCAAGATTTTCCCAACTATGGACTGAGATTCCAAGAGCCATCCTGTGGAATAAACAAAGACACTGATAAGCCAAAGATTCAAGACACTACAAATCTATTTGGCAAGAACAAAATAGACATAGAATTACTTTAAATATTTTTTAAAAAGCTTACATGAAGATAAAATTTGAAATCCACATAATCAGTTTAGGTGAATCAAATATTAAACTTCAAAACTTTGATATTCCAGCAAATGTCTGTGATTGACCTGGAATGTTGTTTGCAGATGGCACCCAATTGAGTGGTGTGGTTAACACACCTGAAGGCTGGGAAGCCATCCAGAGGGACTTGGACAAGCTTGAGAAGTGGCCCATGGGAACCTCATCAGGTTTAACAAGGCCAAATACAAGGTGCCGCATCTGGGTTGGGACAACCCCCAGCATCAATACAGGCTGGAGGATGAACAGATGGAGAGCAGCCCTGCAGGAAGGACTTGGGAGTGCTGGTGGATAAGAGGCTGGACATGTGACAGCAATGTGCACTTGCAGCCCAGAAAGCCAATTGTATCCTGGGCTACATCAAAAGCAGCATGGCCAGCAGGTCAACGGAGGGGATTCTGCCCCTCTACTCTGCTCTGGTGAAATCCCACCTGGAGAGCTCTGTCTCAGCACTGGAAGGATAATCAACCTGTTGTAGTGACTCCAGAGGAGGGCTACCAAGATGATTGGAAGAAAGCACCTCTCCTATGAGGAAAGGCTGAGAGAATTGGGATTGTTCAGCTTGGAAAAGAGAAGGCTTCAGGGTGACCTCATTGCGGCCTTCCAGTATCCAAAGGGAGCCTAGAAGAAAGATGGAGAGGAACTTTTGACAAGCGCATGCAGTGATAAGACAAGGGGGAATGGCTTTAAGCTGAAAGAGAGTAGATTTAGATTAGGCATTACAAGAAAATTCTTCACTATGAGAGTGGTGAGACACCGTAATAGGGTACCCAGAGAAGCTGTGGATACCCCATCCCTGGAAGTATTCAAGGCTGTGGTCTAGTGAAAGGTGTCCCTGCCCACAGCAGGAAGGTTGGAACTAAATGATCTTTAAGGTCCCCTCCAAACCAAATGATTCTATGATTCTGTGATCTCATTTCCGGGTGAAGCCTAACAGGTATAGTTAGTGTTATTTTCCCCTTTGTGTTACTCTGTATTAATCATCATTTTCATCTTTCCATCCTATTTTCAAATCATCCATTATATTAGTATCTTACACATTATGCCAGCATCGAGGATCTTCAGTTACAGACGAGAAGCCTACTTCTGGCACTAACAAAATATGGCACTAACCAAAACCTGCTGCCCTAAGTAGTCTACATGTGATCCTTTGGTGTCAAAAGAATTTTCCTTTTCAAAGAACCTTGGGGTTCTTTGGCCCAAGTGCAGCCTTAATTTACAAATTACAGATTATTCCTTACAGAAAGAAGGAAGGAAGGAAGGAATTTCCTCTCTTTCTGTTGTAAGCAAGCAATGAGAGGTATGAAACTCCAAAAGATAAATTATAGGGAAAATAATATTCAGATGTGACTGTGTTTGTTATTAGGGGAAATTTACTTCAAATAGACTAAATTACAGAAAATCTCAGAGGCTGACCTAAAGAAAAAGAAAAAAAAAGAGTAAAAGTTGCATATTAGAGTTTTGCAATAGTAAGCATGCCATACAAAGAAGCATTCTTTAGGATACAACCAAACTGATTTACTTACTGTAATAAACCCCTTCAGTGATGCCAAACCATTTATGATGTTCACTGAAAAGGAAGAAAATTCTGTGAAATCTGTGAGTAAAGACTGATTTTAAGAGCATTGAAATATTAAGCATGGAGCAACAATATGGAAACATGAGCTCAAGTTTTATGACTGGAATATCAGAATCTAAATATTACATAGTGCCACACATTCCTGGTCGTGGTTCAGTGTATTATGCTGGTTTGATAATAATGATGTGTATAAAATTAAGCCATGACAAGAGGGTAACAGCTGGCTCTCAGGTAAAAAGGAAATAGAGAAACTCACCTATGCCAAATGTGACTATATTCGTTCTTTATCTGAAAAAAATATTTCCAAAACATGTAAAGCAATATGCTTTGCTTGGTATAGAGCTGAATCTGCCATAGAACTTGAGCAATCTAATAAATTTAGATTGTTTCACTGGACAGATGCTCTTCTTCAAATGATGTTTCAAACTCTGGTTGAAATACAACCATGCAAGTTTTTAGGAGGAGAAGCAAAATCATCAGTGCACTGGACACATACTATTTCATTAGAAGTGTATACCCAAGCATCTTCATTTTTCTTATTATGGAATTATAGTAGAATATAGCCATATTTTAAAGTTTTAACAAATATATGTCATTTACTTCTAGTGTCTGAAAAGTGCAACTTCTCTGTCTTTTACCTATATCCCAGGTCTCAGATGAAAAACTGAAAAAGGAATTTTGTGGTTTCACCTTCTTATCCAGTTTACTCTTCTGCAAATGGCACTGGATTCTCTTCAAGCTAAAAAAGTAATCACAGATATAATCTTTTACAATCATCACTGCCACCATCAGTTTGTGAGAAGTATTAGAATTAAAAAAATATGTAAACCAGAAGTGCATACTGTTCTTGCTATGAACAGAGATGCTATAAAAAACAAAGGCTTTCAAAAGTGGAACAATGAAATGCCTGAAGAAGTTAAAGTGTTTCCAACAGGGAAGGAAAGGTTCACACAAATAGGAATCTCTTTCTTTCTCCTTTCCTTGGGGGAATTGCTCTATTAATGCAGTCATCAGAAAGAAATCCCTAAACTAATACATTTAAACTAAGCAACTCTGAAAAAAAGGAAGAATAAGAAAGGACATCATTGTCAGAAAGAAAATCTTACCTGTCATTTAATTTACTTTAATCAATTCCAACACTGGATGGACAGAATAGTAATGTGAAGACTCTGCATTTAGCCTCTGCAGCATTTTATCTTATTTAAGAGAGAAAAAAAAAAGGAGCTGAAAATAACGGACTGCCAGGGATTTGACAAAATGTGGAAGAGTAATAACCTGGAATCACATATTTTAATATATCCTCTTGAGTTTTAAATGTATTTCTCGGTCAAAGAGTTCCTGTGAGTGAAAGCACACACTCCTTTCCTACCTAACGTTTTATTAATGTTTTCCAGTGGTGGTAATGACATAGCCACAGATGGATTCTGTTTGTGGGTGCTCCAGAGCGTTAGAAGTGCCAGCTGAGTCTTTTTCACCTATTAGTGAAAAAAGATTCAAATACTTTTGAGAAAAATCACTGCAGCAGCAATAACTACAGCAGAATGTAAAATCATCTAAGAAGGCCAGATGCCTTAGAATAAAATACTGACAGATTCTACAAATATTTGTGTGTAAATTCTAAATACAGTCCTACAAATTTAATAGTTTAATAAATTGCTTATTTTTAATTAGTATTGCAATAGCATGCCTCTGTAACAATTTAGTTCCAGTCTCAGCCATGACTTGTTCGTTCACGTCCACTGCTGCAAATGCAACATCTGTATCAAACACTGTAGTCACATTTCTAGGAAATACAAACAGCAGCACAATAGTTAGAAAACCCCCATGATTTAACAGAAATGACTGGACGATGTGTTGAAACATTTACTCGTATGAGGCAAAAGATAAAACAAACTCCTCAAGATTTGACGCAACTGAAAAGAAAATTAATTTCTGGAGAATACTCAGTTTAATGAAACTGATTAAATTGTCCATAGCGTGAAATTGTTCTTTATTTTTTACTCATCAAAACTAAACTGTTCCTGTTTATTTTGTTTTAGCATATTCAGTATTGCCTCATGAATGGTACAAGTTATGCATCATGTCAGTCATCTTGTTGGGATGCTTCTGAGAGGAGGCAGACCTGAGAAATCGAGATATCTAGAACAAAGCCTTGTTTTGCAGTCTGTTTTCTAGAAGGGGGGGGGGGAAAGCATTTAAATATTTAATTAATAACAATACAGTGAATATTATTTGTTTGGTGAGGACAGGGAATGACAACAGCAGATTTAATAGAGGTAGTCCTAAAGCTTATTCCCAAAAAGGTTCTAGGAAGTTTACAAGATACACTTTCTATTTACATATTACATTATTCAAAATATCACTTTCCTGAATGCATTTTTAGATAAGACGATAGCAAAACCAGAAAGACTTCAAGCACAACAGAAATTTTCATCTGAGAGAAACAGAGAACCAAGCTGTTTGCAGAATGAATGGTGCACAAAGCTAAAGAGATGAGGCATAAGTATTTCCTAGGATAAATTTTTAGGATGTATTTTTAAATACATGGCATCTGTTCAGCAGACACTCAGCTTCCGTTTCACAAAGGAGATAATATAATGTCTCTGCAAGCCAAAGGAGAAACATCAGCACAGATACAGCAGATAACTCCAAATATGAGATCTAATGTGCCAACTCAAGACAACTTTCCAAGTCCTGCAGGAGCAAATACACCCTCAGAGATAGTTAGGAGGCTTTTTACCCTACCACAGCACGCCTAAGTTTGTGTTTAGGTTGCTTTATGACAAGAATGATTACAATTATCTTCTAACAAAAGACAAGAAATTAAAAGAAAAACAATCATAAACTTACTGAGTTTAACAATGTAACTCTAGTGTAACTCCATTCCTATAGGCACAGAACTTTTGCTTCAAAATAAGATGTTATTTTATGACTATGTTTTAACAATGTGTCTTCATTTAGTTCTTTGTCCTATTGCCATGGCGACACAGAAGCAGACCAATGAAAGGTGACACAGCCATTCTAAAAACTCAGTTCAGTGATGTAGGTGTTTTTGATCACAACTGTAGAATTTGAAGATTAGTTTCCAACACTTATTACAAAAATATCCTAAGAAAACCCCAAAACAAAACCACAAACTAGCTTTAATGACATCATTAAAGCCTATGTTGCACCTTAGAAATGAAGGTATAATATTCATCAGTGCTTGACAAATAGATATCTCCAGAATTATATAGGGAGACGTAGAACTTTTGCTACCTAAATGATTAATCAAATCTCTTCCAGAAGAAGAGTAAAAAATTACCTTCCAAAAGTTATTTGATATACTGGCAGAGCTGGAGGTGTCAAGCTATTACCTACAAAAGAAGTCAGCACTGCAATATGTCAATAATAGTAAAATAATATTATTTGCTTTTATGAAGCTACTTTGACACTGAAATCCCTGAATACAGATTACTGTGCAGAGACAGAAGTGACAGAAATTAGTAAAGCCATATCTTCAGCATGATTGAGTCTACTCCAGGTAGAATGCAGTTGAAAGGGGAGGAGACTGTGGAATTATGCCCTGTGATTGGGAAAGACTTGTGGCTTGACAGAACGTGTTCTTAGAGCACATGTACTAAAAAACAAGCTGGGCCTTATTTTAGCCCGCTAGGGTAACTTTTATTAACTTATTTTCAGGTTAGAATAGCAAGTTCTTCTGTATTGATTGATATTTCACTTGTGACAACTAATTTAGGTTGTCTAACCAAAGTCAAAACCAAAAGGGGACAGAATGAGTACACTACCGCAGGAAGTTTCTCTACAATAGTCACTTGCTTACACATAGGCAGAAACAGACTTAAAAATAAAGCCAAACCCTTCGCTGACCAAAGAACTTTAGGCACTTGTTTGACTCTACATCTCTAAGAATAAAAAATGTTTCCACTCAGTTTCCAGACTTGCCTTCATTTAGAGATTGAATTGCCTTTTTTTTTCAATTAACTAAACATTAAATAGCATTTTGACTGAAAGACTATTTAACAAATGGATTAATTTTTCAGGGCTGAGTTATGAAAAAGGACAATAAATAGCATACTCCATCTGTGCTACAAAGCCTATTATCCTTGCCTTGAGATAAACACCTTCCGGAGGGACAGGATTTCCCAATCTGTCCTGAAGACCAGTTTTTACAGGATTCAAAAGATTTGCAAAGAGCTTATGAAAGATTTAGAAGAATTTTTTTGAAATATACATTTGGGAAGGATGATTGAAACTAATCCTGTATCAATGACCCACATTTATTTATTCAATTCAAAAGACAAAAGTAACACTCAGTTGCTGTTATAAAAACCTGTGTAGTATTGCTGAGCTGTAGGCTGTTTGTCTAAGGGATCATGAGTTCATGATAGCTCTTTAAGCTCTTACAAGGTCTTTGTTTAGAACCCTGCATTTTAATTAAAGACCATCTGATGATTTATGCAAAAGTACTTTCTTTTCTTCACTTGAGACACACGGTGACAGAAGGAGTTGCAACTGCTGTTGCTAATTATGCCTATAGTAAATATGTTAAACAGATGCTACACAGATGCCAGATGGTAATCACTAATCTGGTAACATTCACAAACAAACTACAAATTATTTTTTATTATATCATCTTCATACAAGTACTCAAAAAAGGGTTCTGATAAGTATTTAGGATACTTGAGGAGCAAGTCAATATGCAAACAGAAAAATCTCTTACTTTCATGCTGTAAATGACATTGTGACTGTCTCATTGCTCTCTTCCTCCATTTCCACCCCAATTGCAGGCTGAAATGGTTTTATTTGATCTCCAGCAAGGCAAAACTTCTGGATATCCTCTGCAAAAAGAAAGAGGTATCTCTGGCAGAATCTATGGAATATACATTATAATTGCAGTAAAATAAGGAAATTTGAGTTTGCTCTATAGTTACAAGAATCACGTAGCTGTCAGAGCCCTGCCTGCCTCTCACTTCTCCAGAGGTGCTTGGGCTCAGTGCCTGCAGGTATTAAGAAGCCAGACTGTAGGTATACACTCAGATGGAAAAGTGGAAAATCAATTTCCAAGGCAAACGGTAAAGGTAAAAAAAAAAAAGAAAAGGCAGCATTGTAAATTCATACACACAGAATACAGAAAATTAAGAAAGAATAATTTTATTATTTTATATTCCACTACATAAATAAGATAATGAGAGTAATCTCCAGAAGTCACTGAAACAGACTGGGAAATGGGCTACTTCTTTTTTTTTTTTTTTAATTTACAGAAATATTAACATAGATGTATCAAAATACATCTTTAATTTTTATTTTATTTTACCTAAGTCCCTACTTTGGACTCAGTTTTTTTCTCATTGCCTTAAATAACAGTAAGGTTGGAATTGCTGTTTTAATTTTTCTTTGTGGCATTTTTACTTTCTGAAGATGACAAGCCTTCCACATATGCAACCAAAACATTATTTACTCGGCATAATATCTGTTTTCTCTAACTTATGAATAGGTAATAAAAACATTACCATCTCCCCAAGGTGGATTAGAGGTAGGTGCTCTAATATTATAATATTTAAGAGCTTGCCACAATTGTTACCTATGGGAAAGAGTAAATAAATGCCACTTTTGAGTGGCAGAAGTAACAAGGTATTATGCCTCCACTGTTAAGTTAGATAATGTTAGATAACTCCCAGTCACTGGCATGTGAATGCTCATAGTGTTAAAGTATTAGCATGTTCCTCGTCATACTTCAAACTTCTGCCAATTCATATCCTCCCAGTTTCTGGGTATGGTTTGGGAGACAGAACATCATGATGACCATTCCCATTAGGCAGGTTGGATATAAACACTCAGGCCTGAGGATGAAGGGGGTTCACTTGTTCAGGTGTGGGCCAAGCCACACCAGCCAGCCACAGTCTCTACCAGCATTCCTAGACATGTAATGTGCCAGTATTGATGCAACCCACTGATTGCTGTGTATATCGTGCAAACAGGCTTGTTGACCTGCCCATGCCGCATTTTCAATGTATATTCAAAATAAAAATCCATATTTAAATTAAAAAACCCCCGCAATATCACAGACTTCTGACTCTAGAAACATCTTTTCCTCACTCTGTAATCAAATGCTGGCATTAACAATAACATAACCAAAATCCAAATCAGTGATGCATTTTCTTATTCAGAATTTCCCCTCTCCGATAATGAGAGAAGAAAAACAGCATGGCAATTTTAGCCAGGGAAAAAACCTCCTGGGTTCTTTCGTGGAGGGAGAATATAGCTCTTCATTTTTTATATGACATTTCAGTGCTGCAGAGTCACATACATTAAAAATTTAAATGGAATATGTAGATGTAATCTCTACAGTTCTTATTTCTCTACATGAAGAAAAGATTAACACTACAACACCTGCACCACCTGGTATTTTCCTACTGAGATCTCAGAAATAAATCTGGTCCTCACCTCGTGATTAAGCACAAAATGAACTACTGCGCTCTTTTTTTCGTGGATGCTCTCAGCCTGCTCTTCTCCTGAATGTGTAAGGATTTCACTTTAATAATGAACACACATTTTTGTTCCCACTATCTACCTGACTAGTCTCTTGTATTCTCCTCTAGGAAGTTCCAAAACAAATTCCATTTTATCAGCATGCTAATCAAATCCACACAGAACATCTCTTAATCAGATCTATTAATTTTGTTTAATTATGTGGAAAATTTAGTGTGACCTACATTTTCAGTAAAATTATGGCTTGAACTAAGTGCAAACTCTTGTCTTGACCTTTTGCTGCTAATACCTGCTGTTAGTAATGTGGAATTACCTTAATTCTGACTGGAACAACCTCTCCTTCAGTCCCCCTTTCACACCGAACCATTATAAAATAATTCTCCTTTTCAAGAACGTAAACTGCTTTTCATGTTTCCACTCACTGACTGCAAATACTAAAAAAAAAAAACTGTTGCAGCACAACATTTAAAAACAATGGAAAAGTAATCCAGACTAAACCAATGCAGCAAACACACCCTACACCCTCAACAACAACAAAACCCCCAAAACTGAGAGGTTAGTATTAATCCAGATCTGTTTTCAGATAGAATTCACCCTCTAATCTACAGCAAAAATTTACACAAAGAAGTACTGTAGCAGTGGAAGTGATGGGGAGGCAGGGGGAGATGAAAGCAGGTGGAATGCTGCTCTTCTCAGCAGAGTCAATCTAAATTGTCTGTAAAACAACTTGAATGAAAATCATCTTCATGTCGTTTTTGACAAACTATGCTAAGATATGAGAAGCTGGGAAAGTTTCATTTAAACATGAGTAGAATTTGTGACAAGAAAATGACAGCATCTGGTTTAAGTGATTAAAATATATTATCAATATATTTGTTTTCCTGGATGCTTAGGAGTGTAAAGTTATTTTAAAAGCTGGTTAGAATGATAATCATTGGGTAAATGAGCACACTGCATAGAGCACTGACTTCTTAATATAGTATATGAGCTCCTCACCATGTCATGGGGCTTTCTTGGGTTTCTGAGCTCGGCAGCTGTAAATGAGTGTTAAATGCAAGCTAGCGGGTCTTGTGACTGGGTGGGTTCAGACAGAACAAAGCCAAAAACAATGCCCCCATTAAACTTACTTGAAGCACAGTACCCAGTTTAGTTTTCTCTGAAAGGCAAACTTCAAAACCACTTTGAGAACTTAACATAAGGCAGCTCTTGATTTGGCTTAAAATTGCATCACTCCTCCAACCCAAACTGCTAATGTAGACACACTGCTAGTAACTAGCGTGAAGAGAACATATGCTTGTAAATCAAAACATTCAGGTCATAAATTCTTTTTACTAATGAAAGTTTGGATCCCAGTACGCCATGTCCATATCTCATCCAGAGGGTTTGTATCAGTGTCACTGGTAAAGACTTTTACTCTATTTATATATCTGAAAAACCTACTTGATGATGTAAATTTTCCACAGTGATTTAAGGCCTAGTAATTTTATTTGTGAGATAACTGGACAGAGCTGACCCTCTAGAATACTTGACCTCTCCAAATTCATCCTGGACTCACAGGATGAGGCAGAACAAATCAGAAACTGCTTGTTCAAAGCTAATGTGAAAGGAAAGCACTTCTTGTGTTAGGCAAAAACATCTGATATGAAACTGCCCTCTCTCTTGGGGAGGCCTTTTGGAGCAAAAATGACCTTTCTCTAGCTTAATGAGAGTTCCACATAGACTGCAAATTCTGATTAAGCTTCTGTCCTCCTACTTCTATTAATAAACAACATCTACATTAAAGAGTGCAAAAAAAAAAAAAAGGAAAGCAGATGCTGTTTGAAGTACTTGCGTTCATTTACTAATTCACATTTTTCTGCTGTATGTATGTACAAATGAGGAAACATTTATGAGAACGGTTTCTTTACTAGTTTCTTAGTACTAAACCCAAAGAACTTAATTACCCAATAGGTCCTTCCGGCTTTAAAATTAGTATTGGTCAAATAGCATCAAAGCCTTTACAAGTCAACAAAACCTTTGCATCAACCCTGCAGAAAGATTCCCCTGTAGTGTGGACATGGAATAAACCAAGAGACAGTAACAATGCAGAAGAAACGTTTAAATGGCACTGACATCAGCATTTCAAAATCTAAGATAAGATTATGGTTTGATTAATTTATCAAGGACCCAAGCTGAGAGGAGATTATTAGGATAAGGTTTCAGAAAAAAAACCCCTCCAACAAAACACAGTAGCCTAAAGTAATTTTAGGGTGAGATTTAGAGCATGTTACCTATACTTCATTTAAGGAATATGTTTATTTTCTTACTCTATGACCTATTTGATTTTCAATGTATGCACTGTTTCTTCAGTGCAGTAAAAAAGGAATCAGATGGCCAGCTACTGTGGAATAACATAAGTTACTAGCTAAAAAATAAGAAATAGTTGGTCAAGGAGAGAGAGCAACATAATCCATTTGAATTTGGGGTTTCAGTAAACCTGGAAAATCAACACTATCAGACACAATTTTATCTATGTCTGTATACACTATATACCTGTTAGAACTGGCAACTCTATAATGGTAATAATATGTGCATTTAGGTCAGGTAGATAGTACATCAAAGAGCATTTGTTTTGGTTTGGGTTCTCTCTTTTTCACTAGTAGCACTTTTAACATAAAGTACTCTCTGCTAACACAAAAGAAACCAGGACAATGCAATCATCAGTCACTATGGGTTCCATAGGGGAAAGTCCTGCTTGACAAACTTCATTTCTTTTTACAACAAGGTAACCCACCTAGTTGATCAAAGGAAGCCAGTTGATGCACTCTTTTTGGATTTCAGTAAAGCTTTTGAAACTGTCTCTTGCAGTGTCCTCCAGTTGAGGGAGGGGGTTGTCCAGCTCTGCTCTGCACTAGTGTGGCCTCACCTTGAATATTGTGTGCAGTTTTGGGCGCTGCAATGTAAGAAAGATATTAAGCTATTAGACAGCATCCAAAGGAGAGCCACGAGGATGGGGAAAGGTCTGGAGGTGAAGCCACAAGGAGCTGCTGGGTTAATTGGCTTGTTCAGCCCTGAGGAGACTGAGGTGGGACCTCACAGAGTCTACAACTTTCTCATGAGGGGAAGAGGAGGGGCAGGCATTGATCTCTTCTCTGTGGTGATCAGGGACAGGACCCAAGGGAATGGCCTAAAGCTGTGTCAGAGGAGGTTTAGGTTGGACGCCTGGGAAATGTTCTTGACCCAGAGGGTGGCTGGGCACTGGAACAGGCTCCCCAAGGAAGTGGTCACAGCACCAAGCCTGACAGAGTTCAAGAAGTGTTTGGGTGATACTCTCAGATACATGGTGTGACTCTTGGCATTGTCCTGTGCAGCTGGACTTTGAGGATCCTTGTGGGTCTCTTCCAACTCAGAATACTCTGTGATTCTATGAACTGTGAAATACCTGACAGAGAGCAGGAATCTGAGTTAAAACCTGTTCAAAGCCTGTCCCCAGAAGCTTTTCTCTCCCTTCGGTGAGGGATTCTCCCTATTCTCTTTTAGTGTTGATTAATGCCATTACTAGATAGTAGCCTCTCTTCTGTTTCCCTAGAGAACACTTCTTAAGAGAATATCCTAGAGAAACTTCTTAAGGAATTTTAGCAGTGTTTCGTTGACAGTTTTTGAGTGGTAAAATTTCCAAAATTCAAAATCAGAATAAAAACCTACTGTATTTAATCTATGTATTTAGAATTGATTAGCTGCTAATAAACACTTTTATAATTGGAATACTGTGTTGTTGCAGCATCAAATAAGGAACTTACGCAAATTGGAACTGCTGAAGATTATCACTGGTT